TCTGTGTACTGGATGCTGGGGAATACAACTAGGAGGTTGCTCTTGGACTTGTGCGCTGATTGTGTGCTTCCCACAGGCAGGCAGTTGGTCATGGTGTAAACAGAATGCTGGACCAGATATGCCTTTGGTCTGATTCAGCAGGTTTCTTCATATCCTCTTTAAGTTTAATGAAAGATCAACTGTCAAAGTTCTGGAGAATTCAGAATGCCTCTCCCATCCTTATCTTCATCCTCATCTCTCCCTTGTGTCTGCTGTCTCCTGTTTCTGTGTGGTCTTCTCCTTATGTCATTATGCTAGGATCTGGTCATATTTCATTTCAACTTCAAGGCTTTTCTGCTCCTTTCTCTTCACTTCATACCAATCCGTCATCTGCAAATGGAATTATTAATTGCTCATAATAAGCTCTTCATTTTTCATTAATTTCATTGGCAGGTCTTCTATTTATATAATTGGTTAGTTTTGCTATTGTTGCATATTCAGCTAACTTATTTTTCCATTCTTCAATAGTTGGACAATTGTCTGCTTTCCTCTTTGATGTAATTGTAACTCTTGCAGCTGCTATCGTATATAACTCTATAGAATACTGTTTGGAAGAATCTCTGGTATAATACTCAGTGACATGTTCTTAGCGTTCATAGAAAAATTAATATTGGTAATTTTCTGCATTTCTGCATGTATCTCTTTTCAATGTTTTAAAATTTTATCACATGTTCACCACATACAGTAGAAAGTCCCATCTATTTCTTTACATTTCCATCAATTTATCCATTTTTAATCCAAACTTACCCATTTTCTGTATATTTTTCAGGGTAATATACCACAGAAAGTACATCTTATACCAATTTTCTCTTAATGTCTGACCAGTGGTCCATAGGGCTTCCCGTTGATGGGGAGGTATTTCTACTTCAAGGTTCTGCATCCAACTTACCATACATGTTTTAACTTGTTACGTTTCAGTATCATAATTGGAGCAATTGTTTATAAATTTGTCATAATAAATTGTGTTTTTAATGTTTAATTGTCTGTTCAAAATCCATCAGGTCTCATATTGTCCCTTTTCCTGTTTGAAGTTCCTTTTTTAATCTTAAAACCACTTCATAATAAAGAAGCCATTCTATATTTTTTCTTTTGCCTTTTAATTCTTGTCAAAACTTGCTTTGTCCTTGTTTATCCATCATGTCTCCATATATTACAGTATCACTATTTTTCCTTAAGTATTTTCCATAGTATGCTTCTGCCGGAGACAATTCCTCAGAGGAGAAATTGGAGGGCTGATTCTCCTTCTCATGCGTACCAAATTTATATTAAACCATCGCTTAAGTACCTGGCTATTATTTAGTGTCAACCTTTTTTTTTAGCCCATAAATAATTGTGTATTCCATCATCAAGATCCATCAATAATTGTGTATTCCATCATCAAGTGACATTTCCAATGTCACTAATCTTTCATTAAAATTAAAAATCCAATCTGTAATCCAAACCAAACCGGTCAAATAATAATACAGCTTGATATTAGGTACTGTGAGACTACCTCTCTTTTTTTCATCTTGAAGAACTTCAAATCTTATTCTTGGTTTGTTTGTTTGTTTTTTTTTACCACTCCAAACAAAAACATTCAATTGCCTCTGCCAGTCTTGAAAAGTTTTTCCCTGTATAGAGATTGGTAATAGCTGGAATAAGAAATTCTACTTAGGTAAAACACTCATTTTTATAATGGAAATTCTTCCTCTTGAAGTCCTTGCCGGTCTCTGAGCTACCACTACTGAGGGTAGGAGTCCATCGGATTTTCTTAGCTCTTTGTCCTAAGGCAGACTTGCACTGAGGATGGGTGTCTGGTCAGAAGTAAGTCCAATTGTTGCGTAGAAGTAACTAGCAAGGCTGGCCTGCATACACACAGCCTGTACAACCAGTGCGCAAGTGGAGTTCTGCTTCAGCACACATGACTTGCAGGCTTAGAATATTTTGTGCAAAAATAATTCAGCACAAAGAAGAAGTCCACTAGCATTCCCAAGCATTTGCTGACTTGCTCTTGGCTCGGCTCACTTCATTTGCTAGGCCAGGGAAAAGCACAGGAAAGAAGTCCAGCAAGCACAAGACAACCAGATTCTAGCCAGATCTTTGCATCCATAGCGTAACGCCAGCCAATGTGTCACTGAGCCTGCGGACACCGAGGCTACATTCTCAGGTACATAAGCAAACAACATTTATTACTGACCCAATTTTTAGACCATTTTCTATATAAAGGAAAGGCCTCCCTGACCCAAATTAGATCTATGACTGAGATCCATGGGCAGTGGCAAGACCAGCTAATACACCCATTTATCCAAGTGGTGTGGCACAATGTGAATGCTGAACTTGTGCAATGGTATAATATAGAAATAAGTCTTCCAAGCTTTTTCTCCTTGTGTTTGCAAGTACAGGTTCTCAAATTAATGCAAGTCAAGGAACTTTCTGCAGCAAACCTTGTAAATATTGTAGGACTGCCACTTTCAAGTGCTGGGTGCCTGTTTTATCATGACAATGTGAAGAGAGCTTTGATGCTTGAGAAGCTTTAATTTTGTTTTAGAGCTTTTTTTAAGGTCCAAGTTAACCTCAAAGCACCAATTTATCTGTCAGCCTCCTTTTTAAAAGGTTACGCAACTGCATTTGTCTCATTAAATGCATTAGAATAAAAGAATGGCCTAAGGTTCTGAACTCAAGAGCTGCACCCATCCATATTTTACTCCCCCTGATTCATATAGTGAACTGATTTAATTTTTGTTGGCCAAACAGGGATCTGGTTTGGATGTAATGCTAAACTCTGTCTCAATGTTATGTGCATGAGCTCAGCCCCTCCTCCAGTTCCACTGTGAAGAGATTAAAGTTCTGCTTCTGCTTTCAGTTAACTCTGGTTTAGCTTTATGTCCAAGCCCCAAACTGTGATTAATCTTAACCGTGACTTAGAGAAACAAGTCAGGGTTATAAACCAGGATTTGAAATTTATTTGTTTCTCTAATTTATAATTCCTATGGATCTGTGTCCAGGTTCAGGCATAATGAGTAACCCCAATTAGTTTAAAATACAAGTCAAGCTCCCAGATTCCTCTTTGTGGTTGTGCACATGAGACCAAGGCTTCTTTACGCTACTCTAAACTGTGGTTTAGCATTAACTGTATTTTGTCTGAATAAGGTGGCTCTAACAACGTACTGGCAGCCGGAAACTAATTTGTGAGAATAGTTTAATGCCAAAGATACAGACCCATGGCTCTTCTTCCATGAAAAGAAATGAACATAAATTAAAGGAAGAGGAGCCATGATCTTTTGGACTTTGTGACTCCCTAACATTCAGTGCTTACACAAGTAAAACCAACAAATATATATCTGCCCCTTAGAATCTGCCCATATATGCCCAGCCGCCCCTTGAGATCAGCGGGAGAGGCCCTCCTCCGGGAGCCCTCAGTGAAGGAAATTAGGAGGGTGGTTACTCGGAGGAGGGCTTTCTCAGCAGTGGCGCCTAAGTTATGGAATGCGCTCCCCAGAGAGGTCCACCTGGCACCGTCGTTATTTGCTTTTCGGCGCCAGGCGAAGACCTTCTTATTTAAGCAGCATTTTAAATGTTAATATTATTGAATTTTATTCGGCCAGGGCGGCTTATTTTATTTTATTGTATATATTTTAATTGTTATTGTTTTAATGTATTTTGTATTATATTTGATGTTGTAAGCCGCCCCGAGGCCTCGGCAAGGGGCGGCATAGAAATGTTTTAATAAATATAAATCTGAAATATAGTTTATAAATAAGAGCAGGATTGCCTGCACTTCTGCATGCTTTGAACATCAAGTACAAGTACAGTTAAGCTGTTTTAAAAGTAGCTGCCTTAATTTAATTTCTCCCTGCTTCTTAAGAAAAACCCATAAATCCAGCTGTTTAGGCTGTTGCTGACTTGGGATTTTATTTTGCACATGACTTGGCTTACCTAGAACTCTTTGCTTGGCAGAAAGTGTTACAAAGTGTACTGTCTCTCCAATTCTTCGGTTTGGGTTATTAATGGATCTATGAGGGGAGAGGGGCCAGGTGCATGAACTTGATTCTGAAATCTCTTTTGGGGATCCCTCTCTCTGGATTTTGTTTCATTTATTATTGTTTTAGTACATGTATACACCCCTTTTCTTCCACTGCAGTCAAAACAGTAAGATATAAAATAGTGGCTTGTGTTCTAATAGACCAGATGCAAAGGGAAACAAATGATCAGAGAAAACATTTGGGTATCAGAATGTTCCACTGTAAAACATTGTAAAGGCTGGTGTTCAAGTAGGTAGGTACACTAAGGGGGGCAGCGGAAGAGTGAAGGGGTGAATAAAAGAACAGGGAAACATGCGCCCATTGCAAGAAGTGCTGCTTTGCTGTCTTTGCCCATCTGTGCTACTTGGAACTGCACCTTCTTGCTTCCATTTCTGAAGATCTACTACAGCTTATGGGGGTAAGGCCCACGTCTGCGTTATAGGCATAGTGACATATGTACATTGGTTTATACAGGAGTACTCCAAATGGCAACAGTGTAGAAGTAACTGCACCTGTCAGGGTAACTCTCTCAGTTCATTCTGTGATCCATCATTCACTTTTCACAGTTCTGTATATTCTGTGCTGCTCAAGAATGTTCACCCATCTTTTAAAACTAAAGCCAATAATAGATCACTGTTAAATAACTCTAGCAATAGCTTCCATTGTGTTAGTCCATCATAGCAAAAACAGCAAAGCATCTGTAGCACCTGTAGATAACACATGGACCACAATTGATTGATTGATTGATTGATTGATTGATAGTTTTGTAACCTATTCAAAAGGCTTGAAATGAAATGCTCCCTTCGGTTGGCAGTTTTAGATACATGCTTCAATAAAGCAAAGGAGAGAGAATGTTGCAAACAGTGGGGTCAAACAGAAATGTGGGTTTTGTTGAAAACCACTAGTGCTCTAAACTAAATACATACATGCTATTTGAATCTGGTCTCTCTTGTTTTTCAGATGAGAGGATTTGTTCACCACCATTTATGGAGTTGACAAATGCATGTGGAGAAGACACTTTACAGCAAATAAAGAACAATGGAATTGCATTCCCGTTCAGTATGTCAACAGACCTTACATTTTTCCTAAAGGGAACTCTTGGAGAACTAAAATATTCCTATAACCAGAGCAAGGAAAGGAGCCCAAAAACCATTCATTTTCTCTTGCTTTTGCTCTCTCTCTCTGGGTTTAAAACCACCCATGACATAGTGTGGCAGTTTATTGTACTTGTTCAGAATAAATAAGGTTAGCTAGGGAAGATCCTTCATGAGAACAGTAGGAGTTGTATACCAGGTTGTATGTGGGTTGGTGCTCATGTTGAACTTGTGAACAATTCCAAACACAATAAACAAGTACTGCTAGGTAAAATGTTTGCATCATTCCTTGTAGTGACAGATACTAGCCCTGACTACTTCTGAATAGACATACAGAAGCTTGCCATGCTTATTTATAAGTACAGTGGTACCTTGGCTCACGAACTTAATCTGTTCCAGGACTCTGGTTGTGACCCAAATTGGTCATGAACCAAGGTAAATTTCCCCATAAGGTTCAGTGTAAATAAGGTTAATCCGTTCTGTAACCATTTTTTAAATCAGAAAAATGTGAAGCAAAGTGACAACAGCAAAGATCGCGGCCATCTCCCCACCCCAACCCTGAGCACAAGCGCGGTCATCTCCCCGCCCCCGCAGCACGACCGAGACCGCGCCTGTCATCCCTGCAGGCGCCCGTCATCCCGGCGTGCTGGGGGGTGGGGGGAAAGATGGGTGTGATCGCAGGCACACTGGGGAAGGAAGAGACGGGTGCAAACGGTGTGCTGGGGGAGGGAGAGATGAGCGCAATCTCGGCCAGCTCCCCCCACCCCACCCTCAGCACAATCACAGCTATCTCTCCACTTGTGCTGGTTGGGGGGGTGGCCAACATTGTGCCCATCTTTCCTGCAACAGCATGCGTCTGATCACACATGTCTTCCCTGCATGAACGGAACTGCGATCGCGGCCATCTCCCCGCTTGAAATTTTTGTTCGTGACCCGATTTGTTTGTAAACCAAGGTGTTCATGAGCTGAGGTACCACTGTAGATACTCTGCTCGTAGCTTCCTATTCTAAATGAGTACCAGTGAATTAGGATAAGGGTAAAGGAAGATTTTTCAGCCCTGCCAACTTTTCCCTGTGTCCTCCCCCACCACCGGGATGTGGTCCTGAGAGCATCTTTCAAAAGGACTCTGGCCCCCTGTAGAGGAAGTCTGGCTCCATCTAGAACATTCACCCGGATGAGTTAATGATGTTAGTAACATTAATTGGGTGGTTTAATGAGCTACATTAGAAACTGCTCATTAAGAATAGCAGTGAAATGTTTTGAGTATTCCCTGTTCCATGTATTCACAACTTGCATTTCTTCTCTCTCTCTCTCTCTCTCTCTCTCTCTCTCTCTCTCTCTCTCTCCTTTTTTTTCCTATTTTCTTTTTTGTGCTCATATAGTTTGTAAGACAAGAGTGGCCCATGGAACCAACTCTCATGAGGTGAGCATCTGCACAGGACTCAGATCTATACTGCATAGTTTTAAAAAATGCCTTGCTTGTGAGGCAGAAAAAATGACCTCTGATGGCATTTTCCTTCACTGGCTTGATGGAAGACGTAAGACAGATACTTTCTTTTATCTCACATAACTCTTCTGCACCCTGCTGTGGGAAATACCAGTGTAATACTAGACTTTGTGAACAACCATGCTTGCTCTGTAATGTGTTTGTCCTTTGATTGCAAGCTGTGGTTGAGGTGACTATGCATGTCTATTTTCTTATTTTTTTCAGATGGCTATCATATTCAACCAGGAAGGCCTGAAAGCCATCCAGCCCCCATGTGTGATTCAGAGCTTCATCAACCACAATGCAGTTCTCTACAAAGTCTTTGTGGTTGGAGAGTCGTACACTGTGGTGAAAAGACCATCTGTAAAGAACTTCTCAGCAGGCATTTCAGGTAATGGTTTGAGTGTAGCAGTTCAATGAAAGTGTGAACAGGCAAGAATATTGCCAATAACTTAGCAGTGGGAGAAATAAACTTCTAAATTGGTGTTCCTCAGGCCTTTTTTTTTTTAACTCAGGACCCTTGAAAGGTTTTGCTGGATTCTGACCCTACCAATCTTCCAACCACCATTTTTTCAGCAGACAAATGACTGGATGCCTTGCAAAAAGCAGCATGTTTTAACATGACTCTGTAAATTGGAGCATTAATGCGATCTGGTCATTAGAAAACAGAAAGGATTTCCCAGACTTTCTTCTAAAACCAACCAGGACAAGTAAATGAGTTGTTCATATCACTCAAAGTTTCTGTATGTTCCCAGCTCTTCCCCAGTTTCCATAGCAGTTTAGGGGTTACAATACTAAAACTCTGATGTTGGGAGGAAAATGGCTGCACCTTCTGTCAGATTGTCTTTCCTTTTCCTCCCTTCCCACAGATCCATGTCTTTCAGAGCTCCACCTCCACCCTCAAGTGTCCTGGCCTGCAGTTGGAGAACAACTATTTTAAGTGCTCCTTTAAAATTGAAGCATCTGTTTCTTGCAGCCAGGACTTTTTCTTTATACAAAGAGGGTTGATGGTTGTTTTGAAAGGTACATTCTTGGATTGAACAGATTATATGAACCAACTTCATCTTTAGTTGTTAGTTGTGCAGCCCAACATTATTGACTCTATATCTACATCAGCCTTCCCCAGTCTGGTGCCCCCTAGGTGTGTTGGACTAGAATTCCTACCTGCAGTCACTAGGATTACCCAGAACATTACCAGGTGATACCTTGACAGTGGGCCTTTTCAGAGTTCACTCTGTGTGAATTTGTGCGGGGGGGCGGGGGTCCTTTGCCATTTGGGAGGTGGGAAATTTGATATCTTTCCAAAGTCTGCTGCAGACACACCCACACACTCGGGTGTTCATTCAGGCTTTCTGCATCTCATAAAACCTTGCTATGTTATTGCTCCAGTATAAATGTGATTATGATAATTTTGTATTGTGCTTGTTACATTCTACTTAAAATTGTGCTTTAAATTTCAAAGAAAGGACCTTTTCAGTTGTGACATTATCCCAGCTTTTTAACACTTTAATTTTTAAACTTATTTTTAATATTGCATTGTATTCTGTACTGCTTCTATGTTAATTCAGTTGCAATAGCTGTTGTTGTTTTAAGTTAATTTTTGCTTATGTGTTTTTTTCATAACCTCTGTTAACCACCCAGAAAGCCTTGACTATTGGTGGGGGGGGGTGTTAAAATTAAATAAATAAATACATACCTGCAATTGATAGTGTTGTAGACCAAAAAAAGTCACTTAACAAGAAACTTTAAGTGGGAACTTTTATTTTTTCTTGCCTCCCTCCTTCCCTTCAAACAAGACATTCTTGGATACTATCATAGCACTTCCTGTGCTTTTTATTTGGCACACCTCCTTTTCACCTTGTGTCTCCATTGAACAAACTATGCACTCACTGTGTTTTACGACTTTTTAATTCCTGGGCCAAGGAGTTAGCAGAATATAGCAGGGCAAATGTTTTAGAAAGTATTTTCCAAAGTCACAACATTGAAAAATAAATACAAATCAAGAGACTTGACAACAGCAAAACATGACAACAACAAAATGAGTGTAGCTCTTAAAATATTCATGAGAGTATAGAAACATAGAAAAAAGGCAAGGCAGAAGGGGTGTATCCGGCTCAAGCTTTAAGGTGGTATCTGATCGCCTCCTGATTTCCAATGGCCATGCTCCCACCCTGCCCCCTTGCAGCCAGTACAGAAAGAACTGCACAAGTTGCCTCTCCAAAAATGGAAGTGTACCTTGGAATAGGGAAATCGGAGCACTCTGGTGGAGGAAGCTGAGGCTGTGTACCTGCACTAGTTCCTGTTGGCAGCCCAGCCTCCTGACCTCCCCCTCTCTGACCCTTTACCTAGATGGCTGAAAATAACCATCTAAGTAAAATGCATGGGGCAAGGTGCAGTGCCACTGCTGCATCTTACTCCATCCACTGGACGCACATGAGCCACTGAGATCAGAGGCTTTCATACACCTGGAGCAGGGGCAGTAGAGTAATTGCATCCTTAGTCAATTACTCTAAAAGGAGTAAATTTAACAAGTGGCTATTTACATAGAGAAACTGGCTGCTGCAGCAACTCTGGTAATGACTGTCTTAGAGGGATAGCAGTCAAGAATTGTAATTCAGAGGCCCAAAGGGTCAAGTTCAGGTAAAAGGACTGATGGGTAGAAGGCAAAAAGATTAGTGCTGGATAAAGTCAAGGCAAATTCATTGACAAGGAACAGTGGAGAGAGAGCTCTAAAAAGATTAACCCAACAGAAGGCAAACTAGCACCCTCCAGATGCTTTGGGGATGCAGTCCATATAATTCCTGACCATTGGCCATGCTGTCTGGGGCTTACGACTGTTTTTGTCCAAAACATCTGGAGAGCATTAGGTTACCTGCCCTTTGACTAGCCCAGACAGCAAAAAGCTCGGACACCTTTCAGACTGCCTTGACCAAGCTGATGTAAGAGGGATTTTTTAGTGGCTGTAAATGTATTGCCTTTGGCCGGCCTATGTAGGCACAACAAATGGTGCTGGCCACTCAGTCATACAAGCCTGGGAAAACTGCTTTTAAGATAGAATCAGAGCTGTAGTAGTCATCATCTTGATACTCATAAAGAAGTTAAGAAACTGCGATAATTCATTTTGGACCTGACACGCTGTTGTCTAGTCATGCTTTCATAGGACTGGGAATGAACCACAGAAAGCCATGGGCTCTAGCACTTTCCTCCACCATATACAAGAGGACTAGACTTTTAGTCTGCTGAGGGATGCTGGGAATTGTTGGACTACTTCTGTTTAAACATGCAAAGGATTGCTTTAGATTGTAAACTAATGTAAAGACTCAGTGTTCTACTGCAGTGCTATTGCAGAGCAAGAACACTTCAGCTTGGAACAAAACACGGGCAAACGCTGGCATGGCTGTCTTTTCTTCCAGTAGTGTCCTGCCTTTCCTCCAACTTTTTCTTTAAAAAAATGTAGACATTTCCCTTGATTTTGCAACCAGGCTTCCATGAGGGGATGCAATACAGCCTTAGTCGTGCTGGATTGGAGCTAATTTAAGTGCAGAGATGATACACAATCCAAAGCTCTTATGTAAATTGTGAATGCACATTATGTTGCTGGGTTGCACTGCCCCCTTCTGTTTGTCCATTGAAATCCTGTTAGCACCCAAGACAATTATTTGTATGTTTAAAAAAAGGATTCTGTGCTACCTCTATATAACAGATATTTCTGAACCTCCAGAATTCTGCATATAACATTTACATTTCTTTTACCTTTCCCACCTGCAGATAGAGAATCAATATTTTTCAACAGCCACAATGTATCAAAGCCAGAATCCTCCTCCGTCCTAACAGCAGTAAGTATTGCAGGATTCTTTCAGAAAGTCATACTCCACATACCTTGCTGAGGGTCTCTACTCACATATCTCAGAACAACCCATTCAGTGACTGGTTTATTCTTGGAATTGTTGCTGTAGTCTCTGAAAACATTCTGCAGTGCCTTTTATCTCATAAGAATATTGAAAGCTGCCATTTACCAAGCCTGCTCTAGCAGGATCCTCAGGCAGAGGCCAGTTCCCACTCCTGAACATTTTTCTTCTTCTTAAACTAGAAATGTTGGAGATTAACCCCAAACTAGTCTGCATGCAAAGTATGGGATCTGCCACTAAGCTGTGGTCCCTCCCGCAAGGGTGCTGCAACTCAGTAATTCACAGAATACTAGTAGAGTTGAGAGGGACTCATGAGCTCATCAAGTCCAGCCCCTGCTCCAATTCTACATGTGGTCACCCATCTGGTTGCAGGTCTACCCCTTTGTAGCTTAGCAAGGGTGACTCGACTTACTAGTTCAGTTAATGTAGGTAATTAGGCAATTCAGGTAGGCAATTAATGCAAGTTTTCAGTCCTCTTGAATTAATAAAAAGGGAACAGAGCCTTTATGAGGAATTTTAAGTTGTACCTCCCCACTTTGAGAAATATAGCACATCACTCCATGTACAGTAACTGTGTGTGTTTCCTCCTAGTCCAGAATCTAACCCTAATCCTAATCCCTCTAAACCTAGAACCAGCTTAATTATTTTATTATGTATTTATTCCATAGATTAGTCACCATAGCACCCTGATACTAAATATCGATTACTAGCTATGTAATTCAAAGTGGAAAAGGGAATAGATGTGTAGTTTATACCACAGTCCTAAATTTCTATTGCAGTTATTTTCTTAGAAAATATAAGACCTTTATACTTCTGTTATTTACTATATTCTTAAAATGCTATGGATATTCAGTAAAGTTAACTGCGTGTAGATGCACATATATGCAGGAGGTGGGGTATACAACCCAACTAAATCTTCTGAACAAGTTTATATTTAACTGTGTGCTCATTCCCCCATGATAATAAATGAGTCTGAAGTGTTATTTCTTAAGGATACGCACTCCTTATCTGCCCCTGGAAACTTCCATTACAGGCTTCCTCTGTTTTATGTTTGCTGCTGTTAATGTTGTTGCTGTATTCAAAGAGAAGCGTAATCTGTTCCAACAAACTTGTTACCATAATGCAACTGCATTAAAAAAAACTGCATTGTTTTTAATAGATATAGTGGCACAGTGTAAATATGATTTTTTTTTATTCTGGTTTCTCAGTGCCTTTTAAAACAGAGCATTTGCTTTTTTTGTCTTTTGTACAGTGGCTCTGATGTACTATCACAACAATGTTTGATTCAGTATAATGTACAAAATGTGCCTCTGATCTTGTGAGAACATGAAAATGTGGCACCCCCCAGATGTGCTGGACTACAAACCCTATCACCCTAGCTAATATAACCTGGGGATAATGAGAACTGCAGTCCCTCATTGACTTCAGTCCCGTCTCGACTTCTGTAACGTGCTCTACGTGGGGCTACCCTTGAAGACGGTCCGGATACTTCAATTGGTTCAAAACAGAGCTGCCAGGCTGCTGACGGGGACTGGGCGTTATGTTCACATGACTCCAGTCCTCTGTCAGCTTCACTGGCTTCCCATTGAAGTCCAGGCCCAATTCAAGGTGTTGGTGATGACCTATAAAGCCCTAAACGGCTTGGGTCCTGGCTACCTGAAGGAGCGCTTACATCCATATATGACTGCCCGCCCCCTGAGATCTGCGGGAGAGGCCCTTCTCCTGGAACCCTCCGTGAAGGAAATTAGGAGGGTAGGTACTCGGAGGAGGGCTTTCTCTGCGGTGGCGCCCAGTCTATGGAATGCGCTCCCCAGAGAGGTCCACCTGGCGCCATCATTATTTTTTTTCGGCGCCAGGCGAATACCTTTTTATTCAAACATCATTTTAATTGCTAATATTATTTCCTTATTTTATTCTTTGGCCAGGGCGACTTATTTTATATTGTAAATTTGTTTTATATTTTTAATGTATTATATTTTAATGTTTTGTGAGCCGCCCCAAGGCTTCGGCAAATGGGGCGGCATAGAAATTTTCTAAATAAATAAATCATATCTGAAGAGCATTATCTTGGGTAAAGGTGAGATACGGTATCAATCATTGATCTGTGTATCTCTACTAGGGACAGGCCCCTGAAAGAAAATCCAAATTCATCTTGTGTCTTAGTAAAATGGTAGGTCTGCTTTCCACTACTTTCCACTCTTCCACCTTAGAGGCTCGGAGAGGCTAAAGTGATTCAGTGTCCCTCCATATAGAAATGTTCCTGTATGTTGAAAGCTAGGTGGGAAAGAGAAAGGTTTTAGTTTAGCCTTCTTCCTACCCTGCCATTTTTCTGTATTACTATACCAGAGAAGCAGAGGCAGAATACGGGAGAGAACCAATTCAATTATGTAGCCACCAACTGCATTTTAAGTGGTGAAGTCAGAACGGTAACCAGCTCCTCCATAACTTTTCTACAGATACGCAGCTAAGAGTTTGTCTGTATCATCTAACATCCCTGCTATGGGGGAGGAAGGATCAATAGCCTCTGACACTGGAGGGTAGTACATAGCCATCAGCACTAGTAGCCACTGGTAGCCCTCTCCTCCACAAATTTGTCCAGTCCCCTTTTAAAGCCATCCAGATTTTGGCCATCGCTCCATCTTGTGGAAGCAACTCCCACAGTTTAACTAGGCACTGTGTGAAGAAGCACTTCCTTTTATCTGTCCCACATCTCCCACCATTCGGATTCATGTGGTGAGCACACTGAATTCTAGCGTTACGGGAGAGGGAGAAAAAATTCTCCCGATCCCCACACATAGCTTTGTACGGCCTGTCATGTCTCCCCTTACTTGCCTTTTTTCTAAGTGAAACAGTCTCAGTTCCTTATGGGAGAGTTGCTTCAGCCCTGTTATTGTCTGAGCTTTGCACTTTTTCCAACTCTGCAATATCCCATTTTGGATTTGATGACCAGAACTAACCACCCTCCCCATTTATTCATTTTTTCCTTCTCTCATTCTCTCGCTCCTTTTCTTTGCAGCTTGATAAAATAGAGGGCGTGTTTGAGAGACCCAGTGATGATGTCATCCGTGCCATCTCGAAGACGCTGAGGCAGGCCCTGGGGGTTTCTCTGTTTGGGATCGACATCATCATCAACAATCGGACAGGACAGCATGCCGTCATTGACATCAATGCATTCCCAGGTCAGAGCAAGCTACAAGACAGTGTGTGAATGACATTCACCATGTGCTAATCCAGCATTCATTTTAAGCTCCTTTCAGATGGCCCTGCATGAGTTCAGAGACTGTGTGGAAGGGGAGTGGGGGTGGGGAGCCTGCCGGAGCTGCTCCTAGTGTCAAAATGCCCGACACTCCCTGCCCCTCCCCAGCTTCCCTCCCCGTGTTGAGAATTTCATCAGAAATTCTCAACGCGGAATCTGCAGGAAGAAGTTCCTCATGCGCCAGGGAGCCTCAGTCAGGCAGAGCTCCCAGTCCCTTGGAGGAGGCATGTGGATAATTACATGCACACGGGCTCCTGCCAGCACAAGAAGGTCATGGGTGGAACTAGAAGACATGGGGTTGGATGTAGGGCTATCAGGCGCCCCTGTCCCTGCATTCTTCTGCACATTCTCTGAACATACCGAAGGTCTTTTCAAATGTAGCTGTAAACTGATAGAAGAAGGCAGTTGGTTTTGTTTTGATTCCTCTTCACAGCCTGTCCTTCCCTCGTTTGTCATGCTGTGCTGCAATTTACAGCAGCCTCTGTTTGCTTCACTTCATTTTAGGCACTGGCCTCTCTCCACTGTGACCTAACTCTCAATTATTACCTACCTATCTCTGGATAGGGCTGGGAAGGAATCCTGCCTGTAGCCCTGGAGTGCTGCCACCCATCAGTTTCCATGATGGTGGAGTAGATAGCTCAGTGGTCAGACTCTGTGTAAGGCAGGTCCATGTGCTTCTGTGCTTAGGGGACTTGCAGCTGCTTCTGCCATATTCCTGTTGGGCAATAAGACTTTGCAGGACAGATATACTGAGTGTATTTTTATTACCCCCGAGAGACTGCAATGTACTTCTTTTCAGACAAGGAGGTGCAATATTTCTAAACAATGCAGAGCATATTTAAAGGTGTATGCTGTCTGTCTGCTTATTCATTCATTCATTTATTTACTTACTACCCCTGTGGAACTCAAGGTGACTTCGTGTTCCCAGGTAGTCTCCCCTCCAAGCTCAGGCCAGCCCCAGACCTACTTAGCTTCCACATGGTAGATGCTTTATATGTCTTCAGACCATATGCTGGACTTGTTAATTCTTTTTAGTGCCCTTTCTAATGCTAAAAAGAGATGGGAAAAAACTGAAGCTTTGAAACTCTTTTAAGTATTAAGATACGCTTGCATTTGAGGGTGTCTCTATGCTGAGTCAATCCCATTGATGCTGAATCTGGAGGGCGGAACACCTCTGGGTCTTTCCATGTCTTGCTAAGCCTGAGATGCTTTTGGTTGGAGGTGCCAAGCCTTTAAACCTGGCATCTTCTGCATACAGAACAAGTATACAGGCCCGTTGCTTACTACATGATGCATTCAGTCAGTTTAACCAATATGCCCTCAAACAAGGAACAAACAGGCATCACAGCTGCTGCAGAAAACAGTAGTGTTAAATTCCATTTATTACTGCAAGCACATCATGGGTGAGCATTATGCATGAGTGCAGCAATTAACAGCACACATGCATCATTTAACAGCAGCATATGCATGTCTGTGACCCAATCAGGTAGATAATGTCCATGCATGAAACAATTCTAGAGGGAATGCTCATGTGACATTGCTATTTCCTGCATCATACGGTATGGAGCTGTTCTTGACTGGTGACTGGGAATGGAACGCTGTGCATTGCAGTAAAAAGTAGAAACTGCTGTTTGACTGGGAATGAAAAATTAGTTCTCTGAATTAAAATGCTTAACCAAAGCAACAAAAAATGCAATTCAATATCAGGATGTCTCCTGTGTTTAGAAGAACATTTCTTGCTATAATGCCTAAAAATGGTCAGGTTTCCCTACTTTCTCCTTTGTTTGTTTTATTCTGTCATGATGATTTATTATTTCTCTGGAAAAGAATATTCCTTAAAAATATTGCAGAGATGTAGCAGTTTTGTTTTCTTTCACAGCACCCTAGCATCACCTTTGGAGAGGAAAGGTATTTTTATCCCCTTCCTTCTCCAGATTCATTCTAGCTCAGCTGTTTTGTGCTTCAGTCTTTACCTAACACTGTCATACTTTCACACAGAGAACCATTTCCCTAACAAGCTACTTCACCAGAGAAAATGTGTGCATGCTGTGGCAGATCCACTGCTAAGCCTTTGCAGCTGCCCTTCAGATCGGTGCCATCATGAATTGGTCAAGCCCATCATTGCCTACCCACCTCTTCCTGTCGGCAAAACTGAGCCTAACAGATTCTGTGGCTCTCAGCAGCTCATTTCTGATCCACCATAGCAGGCAGCACTGTGTCCTCCGATACGCAGAGAACCTATAGCAGGATCTCTCGTGCCGAACCCCACTCAGTTCTGTGCCAGCATCTCTGGTAATGTGAGTGACATCAGTTCCCTAACACAGAAGGAGGAAAGATAGCCAAGGGCTTCCTTTTCTCAGAGGGACCAGCAGAGCAGGCACCTTTGGTTCCAGGTACAGAAGAGAGAGAAATGCAGTACTGAGCTATGTGTTTTGCCATCTACAGCCTGATGGACTCCTCAGGAGAGAGTAGGAATGATGGCTAGAAGAGCAGGGAGGAAGAGGAGGGAGTACTTCTACTCAAATAGCCCTTACTACCCCCTTTCATGAATGGGAGAAACCCCATATGAAGCAGCAAGAGTCACACCTGCAAGGTTCTCCATCTGCCAGACAGATGGCTGGTACTGGGTGAAATGCGGGGCAGGGGTCGGAGGTATAGGACATTTAGAAGGGAGGCTGGAATTATAAAAAGTTTGCAAGAATGCTGGCTTGTGGCTTAAGCATTTTTTAAACAAGAGTCAGTGAGTATCAAACTGATGTTCTTGGTGTATTTTTGGGAGGTACAGCACAAAACCTGACTGTTACTGCCTCCATGCTGGAGACATGAGTATGCACAGAAAATGAATGCAGTGCCATTTTCAGGTTGTTGCAGGCCCTTTGGCAAGAGGCCCTCCATGGGCCCCCTCGCTGCATGAGTGCTTATGAGCTGTCACCAGCTCACTGCTCCTGCTTGTACTGGAAAGCAGCCTAATAGGACGATGTCCATGCCTGATTTTTTCCCCCTTTTCTCCCCATTAATTTCTCAGGTTATGAGGGCGTCTCTGAATTCTTCACAGACCTCCTGAACCACATAGCCACCGTCCTGCAGGGACAAGCTCCAGAGGTGTCCCAGCTAAACCATAGCAAGCACCTGGCCGAGCAGACCGGCTGCCTGGTGGGCGAGCGGACATGCTGTGCGAACACCGGCTGCCGGAGCATGGTGAGCAAAGACCCCTGGATTGTGGACAGTGAGACCAACAGCTCCATGAAGCTTCAGCACCAGAGACTAGGCTGTAACTCTGCAGTGTCTCCTAGCTTTCAGCAACACTGTGTTGCCACGTTGGCAACTAAAGCTTCCTCTCAATAACCCAATCAGTGCCATGGACTGAGGAGAAAAAAATGTAGTCCCCATGATCAGAGCAGGCTGGTTGGTAATGCAGCTACTAAACAAATAAACAAAAATCTATATTGGCGCAACATGATTTCAGAAACAAAATTAGTGATCTGGGTGGGTCCACTTCATCAGATTCCTATTGTAGATCTGTAGTGAGTTTACACGTGTGTGTGTGTGTCTGTGTGTGCATGTGTCTTAAACACTAGACCTAATGTAGGAGGATGGGTTTTGTGTCCCTCCCTCATTTTCTCCTCCTCTTTATAATAATTAAAAAACAGAATTGTAAGAATTCACAGAATTGATAAGGAATGTGTTGAAAATTTGCACACTTGAACTCAATAGTCCTGCTTGGCATTTTCCAGCACTCTCCAAAGGGTAAACAAGAGTGCCCACAGCACAAAATACAAATCAGTTCATTGTGCAATGGAAGGTTCCAAGGGAAAACCTGCATGTCCAGAATCAGCATTCTTTTCTTGGATTGAGTGGGCACTCATATTTGGACCAGCTTCAAACTGTTTTCTTTGTCCCCAAAGAAACGCATGACTTGGCTACTCATCTATCACTGTGAAAAACTGAGTCTATTACCTGGTTAAATTTCTTAATGGAAGTATGTTGAAACAATATTGCCATTCTTCTTGTCTTGGGAGATTTTTTTACTAGCCTTTCTTCTGTTGCTTAGCTGATCTGGAACAGCAGGGGCCAGTTATCTGTGACTGCTACTCCCCGTTACTCATTTTGCTCAATAGTGAGCAGAAATTTGTACAAGAAAGTAAATGTGTGGCTATACATATTACACTACTGCCTCTACTGCTCTTTGGGACTGGTTTTCTGGGGTAATTTCACAAGGGTAATGTGGTAATTAACCTGTAACTTCTTTCACGGTCTGGTCAAAATTTCAGAGCCAGTAGCACATGAAAAGTGCACCTTAGCCCTATTTCTTTTCAGCACAGTACAGCATCATCATTCTACAGCTTTGAACTGCTCCAGACTTTGAGAAGGAGTTTATTAGTGAGTTTGTGAGTCCTTCTCTTTGGGACATTCCCTAAAATGTTTAAGGAAATACTGTTTCAATCTTACGTTTGTGTTCCAGCAGAGTGATGGAATTTTGTCATGAGTTTGAGATGTCTGGGCTGGTTCATGCATTGCTAGAACAAGCCTTCTGCGTGAATGGTGAGGGAGTGTGAACACATACAATCATGAGTGTGATGAGGGTTGCACACATGACCTTTCCCCCATTTGGGGAGTATGGGGGAGGTTGGCAGTGTTGATTATATGTACATACAGGCAATGCCACGTATGACTTTGTAGGGTTGAAAAGGAAGCATGAGTGGTCACCAGACTTATTCCTGGAAAGTAGGAACTGGCCTTAACGTATCATTCCCCACTGATGCCAAGTATTTTTACATCTGCAATAGGGAAAGTTAAGATGGGAACATGTGGGGATATTTTGAGGCAGAGAGTAGAGAAGGTGAATGAGCAGAAACATTTCCGAGACAGTGAGAGAGTGTTTCATCCGCAGGGATGTATATGGGGGAAAGGCTATAAGTAGTGCTTTGGCACAGAGGGAGCAACACTAATTTTGCTAAAGCTTTTCCTTTTATTTTTAATTTCCCCCATAGAACTCCACGGTAGATAATAAACCTTAATTAACCTTTCAACAAACTACCAACAGGAGGGAGAAAGAGAGGCTGACTTTATCTGGACGTTTCCCATGAAAGCGCATCAGCCTTTTTTTTTTTTGGATTAGGGTATCAACCTGAGTCATAGTGATACAAAATGGTGATATGCCTCTATAAAACAAACATAGCTGAGGTATCATAATAAATTGTAGGGACTTGTCTGTGCCTATTTTACATGCATTTGGTGAGAGTGAAAAGCAGATTAAAACAAGGTTTTGTAAACCTCTTTGCAATGTAGCAAGCCTCTTGTAACCTTGAGATGTTTAAAAAATGTGTGCAAAGACTTTTTTAAAATACCCTTGTTTGTGTGTACAGCACACACGGAAATTTCAAATCGCCCCAAGGAATGAAAATAGCAGAGTCTCCTCCACCTTCTCTCCCATTACATTTAGTAGGCCAAGATTCATTATTGTCATTCTATTAAGAGTTTCCACTCCCATGCCATCTGTCATTGCCTCTCGCCTGGGTCAAGAAACTAGCAAGTTGCAAAACATACCAGGGGAGAAGGAGGAACCGCCATGGGTCTAATTCTTTGGGATCAATACATTGGCTGGGCTATATGGTGATACTATGGCATCACTGGCTTCTGGAATGTTTTTATTGTTAATTTCCCACCCCATCCTTCTTTGAAGTGGCATTAATTAAATGTAGGTTAAGGGGTGAGCAAGCTAGAAAAAAGTGAGAGTGTTCAGTCTAGTTTAGTAACAGGAGACATTTCAAAACTATGTTTACATGAATCTGAGTATTGGATCCAATTACAGTGTCTTTGTGCTGTTTCCTAGTTTTAATAATGAGTAAGAATTTATTTTCATGGCTGCCTTCTAAAATTTGGTTGGCCTATTTGCACTGCTTTATTTCTCCAAAATAAACTACTGAAATATAATTGTGCATTTTATATTTGTTTACAGATGATTATTAAGTATATTTTGTAAATTCTCTGAAGTCTTAGCACAAGGTATGTCTTATAAAATGCAATTCAGATATTGACTGTAACTAGAATCTAACTTTAATTCTGTACCCAAGTTGGTTGCTTGCTTCTTGAATATAACTGATACTTACTGAAGATGTCACTTTTTCATATTCTGTGGTTATTCTGTAACAAGATGGCATTATTACTGGCTTAAATGATAAATTCTTTTGGAATTCTCTTGGTGATTTCTTGTCCTATCAGAATATCTTGAGTCAAAGCATTCATATAATAATTGCAAACCTGCTAATTCTCATGGGTTCCAGGAAGAGCAAGAATTTGCTTTTGCAACAGAACAGTGAGCAAATGTTCTTACCCTGCCCAGAAAAAAATTTACCTCAGTGCAAAATGCATGACGTAATATTTCAGCTGTGAATGGACCACAGCTCCTGAGCTCATATTTGAGTCTAAAGTTGTTTCCTTTCTTGATATTCTCCAAGGGCAGCAATGTTTGTGTCTATTGAGTAGCACCAGAGAAGTTACCAACATACCCAAGCCCTAGGAGCAATTTTGCTTCTTTTCCTAAAAAAATTCGTACATTTTAAGGTGAAAGAAGAAAGTATGCATGCATCAGTGCATAATTCTGCTTTAAGGTTTTGCTTTGCTTTTCTTTGCTTTGCTTTGTTTTGCCTTGCTTTAAGAAAGCACACTCATATAAATGTGGGGCAAGACTTGAGGGTCTGGTGCATATCTTTGGCATCAGAAGCAACTTACCAAACTACTGTTCATTTTTCTGTTATGTATCCTGTGAACACAAATTGCAAAGAATTCTCAGATTATTCATGGAATGTTCTGTCTCCCACAACATGCCTAAAACAGGGCCCCACAAAAAATCAGATTCTTGGGTGTGTTTATTGCAGAAGCAGGTGTTTTGTGCATGTGTCGCATCCTGCACACAAGGGAATAACAAGCACTAGTAAGTACACATTTGGAAGCAGCCCTCAAATGTATCTTTTGTTCGCAAAATGCATGCTTTACACACTTCTGCAGAACTCTTCACATGACTGAGAAAAGCTGAGTTGTGGAAAATCTCCTGGTGTTATGATTATAAACTTAAGCTGAAACTTCAGTAGTTGACCGTGGCAACTAGTGCTTGAAACCCAAAGAAAGAGTACCTTTTAAAAAGTGCATGAGCATATAATTGTTGAAAGTTCTGATGCTAGATTACCTGAACTGCTGACTCCAGGAATAGCTAGTGTTAGAGAGACTTTCAAATTATTAACCCCTAATTTTTTTTTATCTACAGTAAAGATGCTTTTCACATCAGGGCTCACCTTAAATGGATTGTGTACTGAGAAGCAGCTGCAATGATTTTAGCCTCAGTTCAGATTGTTTTTAAATAGTATATTTGGTTAAACTTCTAAAAATGCTATTCCAGTTTGTGATGATCAATAATAAATGGAGAGAAGTACAAGTATCATGCACCTACTTTCTAAACATAAGCTAGAACCAAGAAATAAGGCTTTAGACAAGCTTTCCCCAACTTTGTGCCCTTCAGATGTTTGGGCTAACAACTTCCAGCATTCCAAACTGTTGTTCATGCTGGATGCAGTTGCTGACATCCAAAACATCTGGAGTGCATAAGGTTGGGGAGGGCTGGCAAAGATTAATATCACTGGGTTTTTTAGTAATTTGGTGAAAATATCTCAGCTCTTAGGCTGAGTATGTGTAGTGCTGGTTGTTTAGGCCATTACAAAAACCAATACACAGGACTAGGACTCTTCCTGTTTCCCATACATGCATGCTAAATCAAAAATTTAGGGCAGATGTGCAAGGTTTTTGCACCATTCACTTGTATCCTGTCCAGTGGACCATGGTGATCCTGCCGTCATGCATAATGTCATGGCCACAGGCAGGCTGAGATATTTCAAAGCACATTGGGGCATAAATCCATGTCCTGTTCAGGAATGGCAGATGGATGCACTGCTAGTTTTAACCTCTGCCCTGAAAGCTATTCTTCCTAGGGGGAAAATGGGAGTAATACACAGTGCTTTCAGTCCGATCAGCACTGCTTTGTTCTCATAGCAGAGTGCAAAAATGAGCAAACATTCTTCAGTCTTTTTCAGAATCTGCTGCAACTTTGTTGTAGCCCATTGATGTAAATTATTCATGGCACTGAGCTCTACTTTAAATATACAGCAAATTATGAAATGGCATGTATGTTTAAGAATGTACCCGAGTTGTTGCCATTCTACTCACAGGCTTTAAAAAAAAAACAAGTCCTGTTCATCTCGTCTTACTACAAACACCCAATCCCTTTGAAACCCGTTAAATGAAAAGCATGACTTTGCCACTGAATTCAGTGGCATTCTCATATGGTTGAAAAAGGTTGTCACAAGATTGTGGATGCCAACAGTTGATTACAATTAAGGTTGTTACCGTGTTAATGAAAGCAATATGGATTTAATTGTGTGAGTTTTAAATTAAATTGGAGTCTGTTTGCAGATGAGGAAACAGAATGCAATAGCTCTTTAAAAAAAAAGTTTGCATTGTTTTTCGAAGATCCATGCCCTGTACACAGGAGACCATACTGTAAGAGAACAACTCCTACTTTTAAGGTGTTATTTGCAATTTGCTGATGGCGTGCAGGGGGTTAGTTCTTGCTTTTTTAAATAATTTTTTTATAAAAAAAATCTACTGCCTTATTCATAGCTTTGGGATCTAGCAAAATACTTAGTTAAGCTATTAACTAAATAATTAAATCGTACAGCTCTAATTTTAAATTTTGGTTTTCATCAAGAAGTCCTCCTTTCCTAAGCACTGAATTTATACCCAGTATACAATCCATCTAGAAAACTGAATGTTGCTATTTCAAAGGACCGTGAGTTTCACTACTGGAACTTTTTAAAAAGTCCTCCGCAGTAAAATGGGCAATGCTATCCAACACAACCCCACTTTTCCGCATATATGGCTTATCCGAATGAAACCAGTTTCCCTTAACGTCTTCCTTTGTGGAGAGTTTTTGTTTTGTAATGTGGTGAAGCATTCAGTGAAGTAAATTCTTGCCTGCAGACCAAATTGTTGCAGTCCAGGCACAAGAACAGCAAAGAACAATGTTATGTGACATCCAAAGACTACGTTTCCTTAAAGCAAAGCCTGCTTTATGAGAGAGAATCATTTTTCTTCTGATCTGCTTTTCTGTTCCAACTGGGCGTAACAGAACATGACATTCTTGCCATAAACAAGTTTTGAGGGTGCCGTGTGATTTAATTACTGCCCTTAAAAATGGAATATATCACAAAACTCATTCATAATTTCTAATTGCTAAAGCTAGTGAAAGTGCGGTAATGGTGGTAATCATGTCTTCCTTTTTGCAAGTAACCTAAGCCACGTTTACATTTTTATTTTTCACCTTTTGCACAATAACTTCCTAATATAACATTTCAGTGTGTTGAGAGATGCATGTAATATTTAAGCATTTGCAAATATGTACATTTTAAAAACGGTGATTTCTATATTTCAGGCTAGATTTAGCCAATAAGAGAGAGTTCTTTAATTTCTTGTGTAAAAGAAAGGGAAAGAAGTCAGTGCTGTAAAAAGAGAATATGAGATGTATTTTTTCCTAATTATTTATTTAGCTCCAACCCCTCCACCTTTTTGATGTTTTTATGTGGTTCATAGGCCTCCTTCCTAGTGTGATACCAGTTAACATTCCCTTAAACTGGTCTCTACCCATCATTCAGGGTCATTAACCTTTTATCTGCAGAATCAGGAATTGTGTTTGGGGGCTTTTTGTTTTTGTTTCTTAAGAAATGCTTAAGATTTATTGTTCCCGGTTTTGTAGAGGACCATTTTCTTGTTTCTGCTAAGTTTGCATCAGTTCATTAATGTTTATCGATTATCTTCTGCCAATTTATATAGCGATGGCAAGTCCGAGTGTAGTGATTTGCTTTGGCCCTGTTCATGAAACTACTTTGATGAAAAACTAAATGGTTTTGTATTTAATATGTACACACACACACATATATACGTATATATATGCATATATGGATGCATATGTATATATGTAATAAAATATGTGGGTTTATATAAAAACCAAAAATATTGGCTTTTTATTTGTACTGCATGACACAACATCATTCTTAATATGGTGCTTCTCTTCTTTTCCTAAGTCATTCATTTTTCAAGCTGTTCATCCCATTTCATCTTAATTTGCCAAACACCTGTGACCGACTTTTTTAACAGTAGAGTTAAAATGCACTTAAGTATCCTCTGTTGTTGTTTCTGTTTGCTTTCAAGTCAACGCTGTCTGTTTTCCAAATACCTAATTAAAATAAATGCCTTATTACAACTCCTCATACTGCATTGTCATTAATGATTGGAGAGAGCTAAGTTGAGTGGGTGTTTATTCTACAAGAGTGCTCTTCAAAAAGCAAAAAAGGAATGATTTATGTCATTTACTCACATTGCAGTCACAGTGCAAGATGGACTGCATTATATTTCTTTAGCTTACTTCTTCTGAGAACTTCTCTACATCAGGCATTTAACCTGTCACCTTGCTGATCATTTGCTTCCAGTGTCTGCAGGATTATGGTCAGCTCCTTTACACGTGCGTTTTTCCAATGTTCATTCTTTCTTTGCCTTTCTGTATGTTCTATTGCATAATCAAAAGTTGGTGCTGCAGAACTGCAGAAATGCTGAGCTTTTGATAGCTTTTGATAGATAGGTAATACCACACTTTCCGTGATCTTAAAAAAAGCCTTTGTAATGGTTGCAAAATGCAGAAGAGGCCCTGGAGGATGCTGCCAATTTGTAAAGCACCCACAAATGATAATAAGTGAGGAATCACCAATGCAGAGTAAATGCAGTTAAAACAGCGGGACCATGCAGAATTGATCTGGCTTCTTGTATTCAGAGTTTTCTGGAACCCAAGCAATTACTTGGAGCTGAAGCATTGTGAGTCCATCCATATTGTTCTCTTCCGTGCATGTGGGCATACATGCATACATACTTACAGAGGAGCCTGATTTGCACATAACAGAACCCATGGTTTATTTAATCCATGGCTTTTGTCCTAGTCACAGTTTGTCTGGCAGATGATCAAACAAACCATTGTTTATTTTCTCAATCCCAGGGCTGTTTGTTTCCTTCCTTTGCCTACTTCCCCCTTCTATCCCAAACGCCTTTGAGGCACAGTTGTACTGGCATGTAAAACAGGAATATTTTTTTATCATGATACAAACAAACCAGTTTACAATCAAACCATGGGAACTCTTTCTGAGTTGTTCACAGTGTGAATGCATTCACACGGTACAACCCAGAATGTAACAACCCATACTAATAATTATGATGATTATTACATTTATATTCCACTTTTCTTGCAAGGAAACCAAGGTGGCTTACATACTTTTCCTCAGCTTCCTTGTATCCTAAGTACAACAATCCTGTGAGGTACATAAGGCTGAGGGTCAAAAACTAACTCAAAGTCACTGAGCTTCACTGCTGAATGGGGACTAGAACCTGGATCTCCAGGTTCCACCACACCACTTTATCACTGTGTGTAAACCTCAAGTGTTACATATTCAGAAGATCTCCATAACTTCCCAATAGCCTAGGCACATTAAAATAAACACCACCCATTAAGATGGGGAACAGGTATGGAACCTGCTAGCACTATTTGTAGTGCTGGCCACCAATAGGATGGCTTTCAAAGAAAGCCAAATTTATGGAGGATGGGGATATCAGTGTCTTCACAGCTATATGCTACTTCTACCATCAAAGGTACAATGCCCACGTAGACCAGTTGCTGGGAAAAACAAGCAGGAAGATACTATTGCACTCATTTCTTACTTCTGCATTGGCTGGACCCTCAACCTCTCCCAGCCTGGCTCATCCTATTATTCTAAACACTTTGTGTACACTGAAGTATATACATAGAGTCCCTCCCATGATGGGCTTCAGTTTCCACCCTTCATTACAAAGAGGACCTACAAATGTACACAAGTTCCCCTTTCACAGATGCATACCTAGCCTCTACAAGCTCCTGACACATTTTGGGACTGTACATTTAAACCATCCTACAACAGCAGAAAAACTTAAATCCCTAATGGTTATTGGCTTTTCTGCAGAAATATTGGGAAGTTTTTAGGAGATTTTCCCCATGTCTGCAATCGTTTGATTGAGCTGTGCTTGCAACATAGAGGGTGGGTTGCAGAAGCCACTGTTAATGAATTTCTGGTAGCAGCTACATGCATTGGACTATTTCAAGGGTGCTCATGAACATAGATGGAATCAACTGATGCTGAAAGCTCCAATGTTAGGGCCATGCATGGGACTTTAATGGAGCTGTCCATGGTGCTGAGCTAGCTGGTGGTTTTAAGGTTCTGCACCATGGATAGCTACTTAAAAACTTCCCATGCGTCATCTTCACTGTATGTAATTACGCTGCTTTGCCACCCCTTTCACCATAAGCATAATCGCTTGGAATGAGCTGAAGATGTGAGGCAGGAAAGCAGAACCCTATTTAACTGGAGGGCCAAATTTAATTTTGGAGACAGTCTGAAGGCCACATGCCAGCAGTGGGTACAGCCAAGAATAGCAGCATGCTTTTGTTTAATGCTCCTGCACCCAGTACCTAACCCTTAAGAGATGCATTTCGAAACTTTAGAATGGAAGAAAAAGCACACAGAGGCTGGAAAGCCACCAAATGATTGGCGATCAAGGGGAGGAATGGCGTGCCCATCTAAGGAATCCTCAAGCAGGCTGGATTTGGCCCACTGTCCTGGGGTGCAATACCCCTGATGTAGGGGCTGTCCATTTATAAAATCAAAAGATGTATAAGAACATTTAAATATGTTTGCAGGATTCCTGGGCATCAGGATGAATTCTTCTCACCAGTTTGATGCTATTTAACTGGCAGGCTGCTACAGCAAGTCAGGTGGTTTGTCCACTTTTGTCCACCTGACTGAGGGCAGCTCCCTAGGGTCTAATGCATCTAATGCCCTGCTCCCTGAGCCTTCTAAAGGGAGAAGCTCAGGATGGAATCTGGGATCTGCATGCAGTGTGCAGGCTTGACCACAGAGCCAGAGTGAGAGGTGTATGAACAAGCAGGCTGTAATGGTGAAGGGAAGGAGGAACTCCAGGTGGCTCTTGTCAATGGAATTCCATAGGTGTGTGGGCCCTCAGCAAGTGGTTCACCGTGCCTGATGCAGGTAACCCCAGTGTATGGCTCATTGGATTAAGACCATAAGATGAGCCATGCTGATCCCCCTGATCCAGCTGCCCACAGATCTGACAAGCAAGTCATGAGAGCAACAGCAACTTCATGCCCAGTTTCCCCAGCTTGTGTACCTGGCCATATGACTTCTAACACTGGAGGTAGCATTCAGCCATCAGCACTGTTAGCCATTGATAGGTCAAATTCATGGAGAATAAGCCTATCGCCTTGTAAAGCCATTCACAGTGGTTACCATCACTGCATCTTAAATTCCAGAGTTTAAATATGCCCTGGGTTCTTTGATCTGTCCTGAATCTCCCACCAATCAGCTTCATGGGATGACCCCAGCTTCTAATCTTATTGACGAGGGAGAAAAATGTCTCCCTCTCTGCTTTTTCCACACCATGCAAAACACCTGTATCATGTCTCCCTTTATTCACCATTTTTCTAAGCTAAACAATCCCAGTTGTTGTAACTTTTCCTCACAGGGTCACCCCAGCACCTTCGTCAAATGATCAAAGATAAAATGGTTGCCCTTCCCTGCACTTTTCCTCAACTTAATAATGTCCTTTTTCAGGTTCAATGACCAGAACCAAACACAATATTCCAGGTGCAGTTGCACCAAAGTTTTGTAAGTTGGGCAGTTGTATTTTCTATATCTTTCCTAATTCCAACTAACATGGAGTTTGCCTTTTTTCTAGTAGCTGCACAGTGGACTGACATTTTCATTGACCACTAAAAGGTTAGTGAAACAGGAATTTCCTTGGTGGAAGCCATGCAGGTTCTTTTCAGCAGGGCTTGTTCTTCTGTATGCTTACTAATATTATCTTTAATAATGCATTCAACCAGTTCACATAAACCAACACTAAGCTAAACATCCAGATTCACCAGATCCCTTATTTAAAAATGGGGTCACATTAACCATTCTTCAATCATCTGTAATAGAGGCTGATCTTAGGAACATCACTTATTTTGTTAGATAGTAAGCAATTATATATAAGCTACCCAGATGGCCTTAGGGCTAAAGAGTGAAGCACACAAGTGTATATATGAATGTATGAATGAGTTATAGAAGGAGGCTAGGATGAATACCATCTAAGTCTGCCTATTTATTAACTTTCAATTTGTCTGGACTGTTGAGAGTTAAAACTGTCACCACTATTTGCCTCAGTTCTTCAGACCACCTTCCTGAAAACATCAATTCAGTCAGAGATTCGTATTGTATAACTTCTGCAGTGAAGCTGGATTAAAAGAAATCACTCCGCTTCTCTGCAGTCTCCCTATCCTTTAGTATACCTTTATCTCCATTGTTGTCCAATAGTCCAACTGCTTCCCCACCTGGTCTCCTTCTTATATATTTAAAAAATGCTATTGTTGGTCTTGATCTTGTTAATGAGATGCTCCTCAAAATGCCCTTCTATTGTTTGCTTGCACTTTCTTTGTGCAAACTTGTGCTCCCTTTTGTTTTCCTAATTTGGGCAAGACTTTCATTTCCTGAAGGAAGCCTTCTTTTCTCTAATAGCTTCCTTGATGCTGCTTGTTAACCATGCTGGTGGTGACCACTTGGCTTGCTTCTTGTTTCTTAACCTGTAGTATACTTTCTAGCTGACCTGTTACTGTGGCTTTGAGTAACCTCCACATTTTTAAAGGAATTTAGCCCACTTGATTCCCCCTCTTAAGTTTCTTTTTACCAATGCCCTCATTTTAGAGAAGTTTCCTCTTCTGAAGTTAAATAGGACTGCACTGATCTTCCTTTGGCATCTTTCCACTTAATATATATTCAATCTGATGGTGCTGTGGTCACTGCTTCCAATTGGTTCAACAGTGTTTGCATCTCGTAGCAGAGTCTCCTTACCATCTGGTCAGTCCCATGACCAGCTGTTCTAGGGCACAGTTATTTAGAGCATCAAGAAATTAACTTCTTTGCCATGACTGGAACATGCATTCAACCAGTCAGTGTGGTGGCAATTATTCCATCCATTATTACAACAAATTTTTGTTTGGACCTCTCCCTGATTTTGTTTTCCTTCTTGCAGTTGCCCTGAGCATTGATTCCTAGGACTTGTTCTTAATGCTAACTTGTAGAGCCTGGTATTGTGAGTGGAGCCGGTTGGAGCTGGGGGTCAGACTAGATGGCCTTGGAGACCCCTTCTGACTCGCTCCTTTTCCATGTTTCTATTGTCATCCAAAGCATTACTGGTGAACAGTCCACTGTTTTTAGATTTTCTAGTCCACCTGACAATGCCCTCTTTGATGTAAAGAGCAACATCTCCTCCAGTGCACCCAATTACTTCCTACAGAGTTTATGTCCAGAGATGACTGTATCTCACTGGTTCTCGCCATTCCACCAGGTTTCCAGAACTCCCATTATATCTAGGTTAGCGTTTAAAACCAGAGACTCTAACTTTTGGCTTGGAGACTTCTACCATTTGCCCAGAAATGCCTGTTCACAATGCCCCATCCCCAGTTACTCTGTTTGTGCATTCTTCTGCTATGGCACATAAGCCTCTTTGATTTGCTACCATGATTCACTTTGTGCTCATTGTCTATTTCCTGCCTTTCAATCTTTGGGCCAGTTGGAGACATATCCATTTTCATCCCCTAGGGATGATTCAACCCAAACCAGATGCTTTACAGCTCCTGTTGGCTTTCTCTCCCAGCATCGAGTGTAAAACGGCTCTGCCACCTTTTAAACAAGTTTTTCACCAGCAGCTTGGCTCCATTTTGGTTCCAGTGGAGCCTGTCCCTGTTGCACAGGCCTGGCTTGTCCCAAAATGCTTCCCAATGACTAACAGATCTGAAACCCTTCTTCCTGCACCAGCACTTCATCCACATACTGAAATGCCTCAGTCTTCCCACCTGACGCTGTGCATGGAAAACGGTAGCATTTCAGGGAAAACCATTTTAGAGGTCCTGGATTTCAACCTAAATTTGGCTTCCAGAACCTCATGTCTGCATTTCTCCATATCACTGATACCAACCTGGACTATGAACACCACTTCCACCCCTACAAAGCTGTCTAGATGGCATGTGATATCTACAACCTTCACACCCATCACAAACCCAACTACCTATGTATCTAATGATCAACTCTCCCATTACCACAACTAGGGTTGCCCTGAATCTCTATAAACTCTAAGCCTTCAGTGTTCACAGACTTCCTTTCATGCTCAGCCCAGTCTTGGAAAGTGAGCAGAGAGGAGAAGCTTGCAGAACAAAGCTTACACAAGCTCACACCACCAGTAACCTTCTTCCGTGTCACATGCGGCAGCACAAACAGTGGCTTGGAAGGACGCTTCTAGCACAGGATTCACGTAGGGATGTGAGCACCACAGGCAAGCTGGGTGCATTCACCACAGCAGCATCAAAGCAAAGCAAAGCAATCCAGGGTCCTAAGCTCAGGGAAGCTGCCAGTTCACCCCAAAAATGGATTCCTCACACCACCCTAATGACAACCCTGAAAGTACATTCTCAGCCCAAGCAGAACACAAGAAGATAACTGCTCCTCCTAAGGGCTGGGTCCTTTCTAAGGGGTCATTTCCCTCTTCCTCAAAATGCTGTACTTTCCCCGATACCTCATTTCTCTGTTATAGCAGAGGAGCTGTCAGTCTTGGACTGGGACACTGTTACAAGATTCCCAACGGTTTCCTCCCTCGACCCCTCTGCCCCGCTTAGCTTCTCCAAGTCAGCAGCCTTTGCTTCAAAGGAACTAAGTCAGGAATTCATCACTCCAAGCGCCCGCACTCAGCTTCTGTCCAGTTGGCTGATCTTCACACCTGTGCTACTACATGCCTCTGCTGCTTTTCTGCTCTCATAACTTTTGTTGTTGTGGCTATTACTGGGTTATTTTACCTGTTCTCTAGGAGAAGTGGGGGTTTATGTGTAGTATTTTATATTTGCAGTTATTTATTCAGGGTTTCATACTATGAGAAAGAGCAAACTGCCACGACCTCCTCTCCCATTGCTGAACTCTCACAGGTGCTTAGCTCTCTGGTGTGCTGATTCTTTGACCCCTGCCCCCCTCTTACAGAGCTTTAGCCAATTCGGCCTAACAGCTGCTGAGTCCATCTGCTTTCAGGGCCTTGCTTGGAACGCAAAGGAGGCCATGGCTGTTATACAAGTCAGCACCAGCTTCTAGTAAGTTGGAACTTGGGGCAATTGAACCCCCCGGGAGTGGAACTTCCCCATTTAAGGGATAGGCAATAGTTAAGGGACAACAGACAAGGGTAGCTGGTTTGGGAAGGGATAAATTTTGAAGAGCTGCATTCCTTTTGGTGTCTTTTGAAAAACTAAATGATAAACTGAACTCTCAGTGTTCAGCTTGGGATCACCATATTTCTGAGCTTTAGGTTATAAGCTATTCTATAAGACCTAATAACCTGAGCCTACTCTGAACCCAGACCAAAGCTAGCCTTCATTTTTTTGTTCATAAGCTCACCCTTCTTCTAGTTAGGCCTGCCCTGTGGCTCTTGTCACCATACAGCCATGTATTGCTTTTATAACCCCGACTATGCGCAGGTTTAAACACATGGCTGAGGTTCCCTTCAACCACTTGGAAATCTCTGTTCAGTTCCAGCTGGATTTATCCTCCTGGGATTTAACTCCCACCTGCAAGTTTATAAAGTTTACCCTCATTGGTCCTCTGCTTTGGTTTCAGCAGATGATTTTGTGTGGCAGATTATTTGGTAGCAAGTAAATAGCACGTACCTTCTCCTGGTTGCTCAATTTGTTCACATGCTGGAGCCTCATCACTGGAGCTTTTGGTGCTCAGAGAGCTTGAGGAAAGTATCTGACTGGCTTTGAGCCTCTGTTATGCATCTGGCAGTGGATATCAAGGATCATGGCTCTCGGGGTTCTAGCTATGAACAAAATACATCCCACAACCCTCAAGTTTGCCCTCCCTTGCACTGGATGTCTCCTTAGATTTCAGCAGAAAGGCAAATAAAGGAGCCCAAAGTGGTGTGTGTATTTTTGTCCTTAATTTTTATATCGAATATATTACCATCAGAGCTCTCATCTTTTATTCAAAAGAATAACAAATTATTGCAAGTTATTTTTATCCAGTAAACCTAATGGTAGAAGTAAAACATTCTAGAAAGCAGTCATGATTTTAACAAACAAACAAAACAAAAATATGGGGGAGAAAAGGGCAAACCAATCTCCTTTCCCCAACAGAAAGGACATGAACTAAATCACATTGCTTATGATGCTGTATCCCAAAACCTACGAGAGAAAACTGATAGTAAAACAAGCATGAAAGCAAACTGCAAGCTGATGATAAGGGAAGGGGAGGGCTGTTTTTCTAGTGATGCCGGCATCCTATGCAAAATGTGCCAGCTCCATCATTACAACCTCCTTAAAAAAAAACATTTTTTTTTTTAAATTTCAGTGTTTAAAATGAATTAAAACTTCTGGCTTTTTGCTTCTGTCACATGTTGTCAAATCCTCAGCCCCTTCTCAAGGCATGGAGCTTGTGGGCAACTTTCTCCAGCTCAGCTTCTATGGCTGCCAAACTATCCAGCTCTTGGTCCTGAAAGGAAAAGAGAAAATGCATGTTGGTCAGTTCTGCAAGTCATTTCAGCAGGACGCTGCTATGCCTGGATCCAGCCTCACAACCGAGGGGTCTTCTCAACAGCCACCCAGAGAGCAGCAGGCAAGGAGGGCACAGAAGCACATTATTCCCGCTATCACAATAGTCTGTTTAAATGCAGAACTGCACATGCTGGTTTTTTAACCAGAATTGCCAGATCATGTTGTTTTAACAAATCAGAAATGGTAGTTGTGAAGCTCAGAATGGCAGTTGTAGATGGAGAAAAGAAATGTTAGTTATGTGACAAGCAAACCTCCTGCCCGGGTTTGTTGACTTCCAGGGAAGGAGGCAATTTAAAGTTTGGAGGGATGGAGAGAAGAGCTGGGTCTTTTTCAGAGGAGATCTCACAGTTGTGAATCGCATTCCCTGGAGATATTTGCTGTTTTTAAACTGGGCCCGGGGACTTAATTTCAGGGGGCTTTTTCACAAAGGGATTCCTTTGTTTGATGCTAGACTCTTGGATTTCATACCCTGAACCATTTGTTGTTTCACTTATTTAAACAGTGTTTACATTGTCCTGTTTCTTTTTGTAAGCTGCTTTGTAAGGCTTTTTTTAATTTAAAAAGAGGGATATAAATAGCTTAAATAATCCCATTTAAAGATCTTGAATAATACGAAGGACAGGGGGAAAATTCAGAAAGGTTTAAAGCTCTTTGATACATCCAAGTTTATGGAAAACTGTGTAACTCAGAATAATTACAGTGCAATTGTAATTTAAAAATAACATCTGCTAAAGCAGGGCTGGGCAACCTGCAGTCCTGGGACACCTTCCACACTCTTCCTCATTCCATGCAGCCTCCTCCAGGCTTCAGAAGCCTTTGCAAGGAATCAGTTCAGATCTCTGATGCATGTGAACAGTTTCTCCTGCAGCACCCCGATGCCCATGAAAAGGAGAAAAAAGGGGGGGGGAGAGACCCTTCCCATCTCTCATATGAGGTACCTGACAGATAAACTTCCAAGGAAATGAAACCCCCAAGAGAGAAAAGGGATGAACTCGAGAGAGGTTGTGTCTCTTCATATGAGCTGGAAAGAAATGTGTGGGAGCCTGACATGATAACAGTTGCAGGAGTTGCAATATGGAAAGAGGCAAAATGGACCGATCCCACACCCCCCACCACACACACAAATGGTTTCATCCATCCCTGTCTGCATCTGTGGTGTTAACACATTCAAGAACTGGAACTGGTTCTTGGCCCCACCTGTTCTTGAGAAGACAAAGAACAGCCACAACTGCCCAAGTCATGGGACTGAAATGAGATCACCTGCAGCAATGCATAATTCTATTGCAACATTTGGCAAACATTTCTAATTAAAATGGGGAGGGTTGGCTACAGCATCTTCCATCCTTGTGGGGGAAAGCTCTGCTCGTGGGAGGTCCTTTTAGCCACATTGTAAGGATCCCCCTCCTGCTGCAAGCTCACCCCCTTCTGCAGGGACTCTTGACACTCTATGTGGCATTTTCAGGGCAACTGGAGGGCTGCCATGAGAAGTGGAAACTGCCTGGCCCAGTGCTCTCTCTACCCACTGCAGCGCCCTGGCTTTGCTCAAATCTCTACTGGCTGAGTCAGCCTCCTCAGCTGCATTTCTCTCTCTGCCCTACATACTCTTTTATATCCGAAGCCTTCACTTGCATTTCCTCAGCTTGAGATATGTAAAAAGAGGATCAGATGTGTCAGGGAAGTGGAAAAGCTACGCCAGTGACAGCAAGGCTTCCTCAGATCTGCAGCATCCCACATCCCATTGATGTAGGAGAGCTAAGACTTCCTGCTGTGAGAAAGCAGGACACTAGAAGCTGTCCTTGGAGATGATCGTTCCATTTCCAAAGAGAGTTGAAATGATCACAGAAAGGAAGGCAGTGCTTGTGCCATCGCAAAAGGTCCTTGCTCTTCATCACTGGGGTGGGGTGGGGTGGGGGGGTGTCAAGTTATTCAGTCACTCAGATTTCTAGTCCCTATGAGCATGTAACAAAATCAAAATAGAAATGCAATGAAAAAGGGGAATGGCATAATATGTATGCATCGACGACTTCACTTGAGCTTAGTGGGCCTTTTCAGTGGTAGCACCCTGGTCATGAAATGTTCTTCCCAGAGAGGCTCACTTGGCACCCATGTTGTAGTCTTTTGGGCACCAAGTAAAGACAGTTTTAAGGAGCAAACCTATGCATGTTTAGACAGAAAATGTCCTACAGCTCCCAACATTCCTCAGTAAGTAGAACTTTTTCTTATCTAAACATGTATAGAATTGTATAATTCTCCCCCATATTTCAGTTTTTCACATTTTATTATTTTAAACCCATTGCTGTATTTTTAGATTTTATATTGCTGCTGGTTTTTGCTTTTTACTTTGGATTTATGCAGTCATTTTATGCTGATAAAAATAAAATGTTTGAACAAGTTGTTATATTTTATGTTTTAACTTCTAATAACCTCCCAGATTGCTTTGGCTATTGGGGGAAGTGAGCATAATATACAGATGCTGCAAGCCACAAAAGTTAGCCACCCCCAAATCTTTAAAATCCCATTTATTTTCACTCAGGTTGGCCTCCTCCAACCAGGTGCCCTCTAGATATATCGGGTTGCAGTCACCATGATCTTCAGACTCTGCTTGGGGATTATAGGGGTTATAGTCCAAGACATCTGGAGCACACTAACTTTGAGAAGGCTGGTCTATATTGGCTGGGTTCTCAAAACCCAATAACCCTCTAGGGAAGGTTGTTGAAATCTGGATTATTTTATTGTTTGATCCCAGCCATGCTAACCAGCCATGGGTTGTTCACTGTAAACAACCCATGAAGAAAACCTGTAGCTTGTGGCTATGCTGCTAGCTGAGGGGTTAGCCTAGGTTGCTGTCTCTTGTTCAAGCCCAGCCAATACAGACCAGCCTTCCTGTATCCTTGAGTGTGTGTTATCATCTTGTCTGGTTGCAGTCAGTGACTGGCGATGGATCTCCCAAGTTTCTGATGAGAGTGGGGATGCCAAGAACTGAACTCAGAACCTGGAGCTACAGTCATTCCCTTACCCCGGTCCTGCTGCTTGGCCAGGAGCAAGGAGAAACCCTCTCCCCACTCCCTCTAGGGGTTGCCAGGACACCGCCTGCAACACGAAGGACTTAGGAGAAGCTAGGAGCGCTGTTGCGCACAGCAGCACAGAGCCTTGCTTGGACCCCTGCTGCTGCGGGTGTCTCTGAGGAGGTGATGAGTGCATCCAGGATACTAGACCTGACAAACGTGCTGATGTCTCAACTGTGTAAAACCAGAAAGGCCACCTTGTTCTGCAAGCTGGGAACAATTCCTGGTTGCCAATCATTTCATGATGGGTGGTGAGCACAGAGACACGCTTATCGGCAGGGCTTCCGCTGTGTGTGTGTACAATCCCATGCTGCGGTTCCTTCCCTGGGGACCTCTAAAGGACCAGGGACCATGAGACAGGGTCTTTGTCTTCCTCTTTGTTACATTTTGCTGAGCTGATGGCAAGGCATTTTGTTCTGCTACCGGCACCAGAGCAACTGTTGTCAATGTTTTCTGGTTGCCTCCCTGGTGTCTTGGCAGCATCTTCACAATTCCCTGAGAACTCAGTGATTGTTGTGTGCTAGAAAGGTCCGGGTTGAATCCTGAACAATATGGCAGAGTTGCTGTAGTTGGAAAAGTGGTGGATGGGGAAGAATGAGGCGATACTGACACAGTCTGTGGGAAGGCTGGACCCACTGCTTGGGGACTGCGGTGTGTGGGACCAGGACAAACATGGAGTGGAGCTGCTGCTTTTCTCAGATGCAAGCAAAGCTCAGAATTCATTATTCCAGTTATGCCTGAATGCCATCTCAGGGGGCTTGTATGCATCCTTCATGGCTTAATATGGTCACTATTCTAAAAGCAAGTCAGTAATGACCAATAGAAAGAAGAGTTCTGTTCCCCCCACCCCGGGGTGTGTGTGTGTGTGTGTGTTTGAAATTGATGGTCTCCATCAACTCTAGCTTTTTCTATCTACAGTTCCCACAGAAGGAAGAAGATTGTGCTGCTCATGGGGACGGGGGGCTTGCTTGCCAGGGTTGCTTATAAGGATGCTGTGTGCAAAGCTAGGCAGTTGCAGCTTGGGAGAGACAGAAGCAAAGAGAAAATGGGGAGCCAGCTGTGGGTCCAGGGATCTGACCTGGGGTCACTTGCTGACTTGTAGGTGTGTCTTCCTGCTGTTTGCCTCCATGCCTTTGCTCTCCTGGTGGGTTTACACATTCACAGGGCTTCAGAACTTGATATCACCCAAAGAAAGCTTAAGCCCAGCAAGAGCCCACTCCAGTGAGGACCCTCAGCCACTGGTAAAAATAGCCACACCGCCCCTGATACTGTAGAATAGTAAAGCCCGCAGGACTGGTCATCCTAGATAGCCTCATCCTCCATACATGTGTCCAACCCCCTTTCAAAGCCATCCGAGTTGGTGACTATCTATACTTCTGGTGGAGTTCCTTAACTCTGTGCTGTGTGAAGACGTCCTCCCTCTGGTCTGTCCCAAATCTTCCACCAAAGAGCTTCATGGGATGACAGGGAGGCAGCATTATGAGACAGGGAGAAAGAGGACTCCCTCTCCACTTTTTCCTCCTGATGTACACTTCTGTGCATCCCTAGTATACTTCCCTCCCTTTTATCATGTCTCAAAGCGAAACAGCCCCAAATGTTGTAAGTTTCTCTCACAGCAGAGTTGCTCCAGCCACTTGATCATTCGAATCACCTTTCCCTGCACTTTTCCCAGCTCTGCAGCATTCTGAGCAGAAATATATACAATATTCTATGTGTGATTGCATCACAGACTGGTACAAGGGGAGCATGGCTTTATTTTCCAATTCCTAAGTATAACTAACATGGAAGCTGCCTTTTTCATGGCAGCCACACAATGGGGTCAACAGTTTCATTGAGCTGTGCACTACCAGTGAACTCGGCCTCCAAAAGTGGTACTCCCAAAGTTTCTCAGATGTCTTAACCCTGTAGAAGCTTCAGGCTATGGAAAAGACCATGGCCCTTTAGGGCTACTGGAGTAAAACTTGCACGGACTCCTCTCCTTTCCTTCCTTTCCTTTAAGGCTGCAGTGAGTACCCAGTGAGAGGCAGGGACTCTGAGAGACTAGAACTGACCATGCTCCCTTCGGCCTCAGTTGCTGACAGTCCCTTGCTGGAGCAACATCTTCTTTCAAGAGGAAGTACTCAAGCCTCGTGATGCCTACAGAGTGTTGGCCAAGATGCTAGTTGTGCCTTCCTGGACATCTCTACCAACCAGCCATGACCCCTGCTTGTAGTGTCCTTTGATCGCAGCCTCCTCCAATACCCAATCCACCCACAGCAAGAGACCACTCACGACACTCCCAGGATATTGCAAAACTTTCGTAAGTCCCAAATGCTATCTCTGTGTCCCTGGAATGCCTTGCAGTTTGGGGAACTCTTTCCAAGTCACTCGCTTGCCTTCGCCCTCTTCTGGGACTTGACAAATCCTTTAGAAAAATGGGGATTGCAAAAGGAGGGAGACCTACCTCGGTCTTTCTGTTGGCACTTCCTTCTTCATCCTTCTTTTCCTCAGGTATGGCAGCAAGTGGAACGCCACGTTCACTACTCTCCTCTTTTGAATGATGGTTCAGTGGCCTCCTCTCCTCCTCTTCAGGGTTATGGGACCTGAGAGCCAGTTTCATGGACCGGTCAGGGTCTTCATCACTTTCCTCTTCCTCAACACGCTTAGTAGTGGTCAGTTGCTTGGCCAGCTCATCCATTTTGTTCCACCTCTTGGCATCCTCCAGCTCTCTGGAGGACTCCTCTCCTGCTTCTTCACTCTCAGGATCCCTGGCTTTGGAGGTAACTTCATCCTGCCTTCTCTCAGCTGAAGAGTGATGTCTCAGTCTCTTTGCACTGTGGTATTTCTCTTCTTCTTCTGAAGGCTTCTCATCATGTTCAGACTCCTTTGTGTCTTGGTTCTCTGCAGAAAATTGAACCAAGTAAATATAGATTATTCATTTGTTTTGATTTTAAAAAAAAACTGGCTTGGAAAATGGGCCTCTGCAGCATTTCCACAGTAATGGATGTTTCAAAAGGGTAACAGCCCCCTGTTCAGTGCCCCCATTCATGGAGGGAGGTGTGCACTTGGATTCCCAGTTTGCCTCTGCAAAATGTGGGCCTGTGTCAGTGATGGCAGCTCTTCAATTTGTACTATTGAAGCTTCAATTTGTGCTATTGTGTAGGAACAGGAGCGCACATTCAGATTTAGATGTTATACGTGGTTCCTGATCTATTTCTAGGAATTGGTACTAACTCACTAAACCCAATTCAACCAGAGTGGAACACTTTTATGTCTTACTGAGAAGGGTGGGGAGAAGATCCACAGTCTCATGTGAAAATCCTTTCTTTGGCTTGCACTCATGGTCTGAAATGCAGGTGAAAAAAATCCCTTTGTATAAGAGATTTTGTATTGAACCTCTCCCTCTCCTCCAGAGAGCTGAAGCTGGAATATGCCAAGTTATTTCCTTTAGTCCTGACACTGATCTCCCAAGAGGCCAGGCAGCTAACTTGGAGGGTGTTGCTGGAACCAGCATTCCTCTTGAAACTCAGGCAGCCATCAGAGCTCAAAGGTCATTTCATTAAATTTGGCTGGTTCACCCTTTGCTGGAAGACAGACACAATCCCCTTTATTTCTGATTTGGTGAGGTGCACATTAGACCGTTGTAACACTGTCTGCATGGGTGGATCCTTGTAAAGTATTCAGAAACAGTGCCTGGAAAGGCATGTCCTTCTTTGACTGCTGGAGCATTTGCTCTGCCTCCACTCCATGTCTTACATCTCCTGCCCCGGCTGCCAGTTTGTTCCGAGGGCCAATTTAAAGTGTTGGTTTTTAACTGTTCAAAGCCCTAAACAGTTTCTGTTTCTGATCATGGTTTCCAAGGACCAAACCTGAAATGGGTTCAGATGATATAACAGGAAATGGTTAAAAGAACCGTGGCTTGTTATATTTGTGAACCCAGCCAATGCCCTTTAGGACTAGACTGTAGGTCTCCTCCTGTGTACCCAACGGGACTCCAGAGCACCCAGGAAGCAGGATCAGTAAATAAAGCAGTGACAGTACAACCTTGTGGAGTGGCTTGTGGATAATGGTGTGCCCAGGACTACCCAGTGACCCTCATTCATCCACTCCTTGGGTATTCTTTTCACTAGGCCGAACGTGCCCAATTCCTTAATCCTGACTTGATAGGATTGCTTTCTGGCAACATGATGATGCCTGCTAGTGTCAGAAATGAATGCTGCTTGAGACACATGCATGCTAAAACAAAACGGACCAGATCAGATGCTGGGGTGAAACGCTTGTGCATAACCTGATAGACATACCATCTTCCCTTTCACCATCCACATCCTCAGAACTGGTAGGATGTGCCTCTTCAGAGGTGCTCCTCTCTTTTTCTTCCTCTTCTTCATCCCTTATCACATCCTCATCCTCTTCTTCCTCCTCTTCCTCAGCTTGTTCTTGGACACTGTCCCCTCCCTCCTCTCTGCTTTCCTCTTGACTGTGTTTGGAAACCTGCTCCTTCTCATCTTCAAACTCATCTAACTCTGCAGCTTCTTCCTCCTCTTGGCTTCTCTGCTCAGCCACCTCCTCATCTCGGACATCACTGTGGATACGATTGTCAGCAGTGTCATCCCAAGGCAATTCTTCAGCCTCACCAACTTCATTGCTCTCAAATCTCACTGCATTCTCCTTCCCATCTTCAGAGTCGAGGTTTTGTGCCCTCGGTTCCCTCTCTTGCAAGTTGTTTTTCCCCTCCTCTTTGGAAGCGTCAATTTCACTGTGTTTCCAGTCCTTCTCCACCTCTAGCTTGGCCAGGGAAGCAGCAAGTTCTTCATCAGGGGTCCCCTTGAGTTCTGAGAGACAAAATAATAACAGTAAGCAGAAACTGCTGCCTGAGTATGAGAGGTTGCCACAGAGACACACAAAAACCGATCCCAGAGAGTTGGGAAGAGTATTAGCCACTGAGGATGCTATTCCTTAGTGACGACTCCTGTCAAAGCTTTCAACCACTGCAAGCCAAAGCGGAGGCGATGCAGAAGCCACATGTTGCATCGCAGCAGAAAGTGCCCTCCAGAGTGAGGCGGGTGTGTGTGCAAGGCCATCCGAAATAACATCCACGTTTGCATCGCTCAGCTTGGCTTTTGTGTGGGTTATGCTGACACCAACCTCTCTCTGCATTCGCGTTGCTTTGGCTTTCAAGGACCTCGGAGAGCTCATCTTCAAATCCCCGGTTTTTCTTCTGTTGTTCTGTCCTTTCATTTGCACCTGTTTCGCATAAGGAAGTGGTGTCAGGGGGAAGAGGAGAAGAGGTCTCCTCTTCCATACTATAGGCAATTTTAGTACCTTTGTCTCCATAGCAATGAATGCAAAGCAAAACCTTTTCCCAGTGAGCTGAATTTTTAAAAACAGGTTTTTGAAAGGCCGAAATACCGTACCTGCTCGGATGAATGCATCATTTGCCCTAGCACAGTGCTAGTTGGGCAAAGCAGGGCAGTTGCCAGAAGGGTGTTGGAGAAGAATGCTGGGATCTCTGAGGCTTGCCCTGCACCCACTAAGCTCGCCCGCTGCCTTCAAGGGTGGGGGAGACAGTGTCAAAGAAAGTTTTAACTTTCCCAGTGTCAAAGAAAGTTTTAACTTCCTGTCCAGCTGGCTTTGGGACAGGGAACAGGAGGGCTGCCATTTTGCTTTCCCCCTCAGGCAGCTGAAGGAGCCTGGCTCTTGCCGCTTTCTCATTCTCTTTCAGGACAGCAGTCCCAGAGGCAGGAAGCAGGACTGGGAAGGAGTGAGGCTATGGCACGTGGGAAAGGGGTTCAGGCATCTCCGTTTGCATGCATGTAACAACACGATGCAATCAGGGGGGCAACGGAGCATTTGGAACTAGGCTCCAACACTCAAGGAGGGCCCCAGCTCAGCAGCAGGGCTTCTCAGGCAGAAGACCACCCTGTCCTCTGGTGGCTGAGGCTGAAGGCAAAAGGGATGGGACCAATAGGCAAAGACACCAGGATTTTTTAAAATTCAAAGCTGTTACCGCCCATGACTAAGCCTTAAGAGAAGCATTTCAACCCTTCACTGTGGTAGAAACCAAACCGTGCAAAAACTGGGAGGCCATCAGATAATTGGCAAGTCGGGGTGGGGGGGGGTCCTGCAGGAGGAGGTGGGCTTCAGAGCTATAAGGGCCGGTCTGCTGATTTGTGCTTTTCCTTTTTGTGAGCCATGCAGCTGTGAGTATAATGATACAGGCCTGTTCCTTGTTCCCTGGGAGCAAGCATAATTGAACTCAGTGGACCTGCTTTTGTGCGGATGCTTATAGAATTGCATTAGAAAAGTGACCAGTTGAAATCAAGCTTTTGTCTGGAGTAACTTTTCAGTTATGGCAGAATCTTTGCAAATTGCTTGTACTTTATAATCAAATCTAACCAACCTGCTATTTCCAAGCAATATAAATTTTGTGCACTCCTCCTTAAAGTCTGTGATGAGGTGGGTAAATTATGCAATTGTGTATTCCCTTATTTTGCGAAATGTATTCTGCCAGTTAAATAGGGCTTCTCTTATTTTCGGTTTGCAGTAGATCAAAGAGCACACACCAGCTAGAAATTTCTTTTAGCCATGACTCTGATATCTAAGATTTCGACTGACGTTGATTGCACTTTCAAGTGTATCTTCAGAATCATCGGGGTTGGAAAGATTGGGTTGGTGGGGTGGGGGTTAATTGAACGCTAGGAGCCTGCATCCAATGCCACCTTGTATGCTTTTTCCAGTATTCCTCCACAACATTTGCTCACAAAGCACTGCCTGTATCACACCAAAATGAATTCTCACAAACTAAACAAGACTTGCTAACCCACAAATCTCTCTCTCTCACACACACACACACTCACTCACACACAATGTGGTTGAGGGGGACAAAGGGATTCCAACTGAACTGTACCTTGGGCTGCGATCTGTTGAAATTCCTTTAGCAGGTTTTGATGACGAAGGATGGAGTGGATTCTTTCATCTGCAATGGGGGGAAAGCTGATATGCAAACCTTTCACTAGTAAAGAGAGTTGGCACCTAGTGCTTTTTGCACATTATAGCTCCATTATCCAATCAGTTGGGTGAGCTTTTTTTTTTTTTTTTAATTTAGGCCATTGTAGCAGTCCATTTAAAAACAGAATTAATTTAAAAATCAATATCAGATTTTTCTCTTAAACTCTTAGCCTTAATTAGTTTTGAGTTGATCGAGGCTAAAGCTATAGCCTTAACTTTAGAACTAGAACTTTTCTCAGTACCCCTTAGTTCAAAATTATGCATAAAAATAAATACTGTACCTCCTTGAAGAATATCTAGGCATTCCTGGCTGACTGGGAGTGGATTTGGCTTTGACACTGTATCGGAAATTACCTCGGCAATGCACTTCATCACCTACGAAAAACAAGGATATTATATTATATTGTATGATTTATTTATTTAAAACTTGTATATGCCGTCCCCTCATGCCTCGGCATTATATGTATGTATATATTATATCCCACTCTTCCTCCAAGGAACTCAGAAAAACACCTGGTCCTCTTTCACCACCCACTTTATCATTACAGCAGCCCTGTGAGGTAGGTTAGGCCCAGAGATATTGATTGACCAAGGATAACCCAGAGAGCTGTATGGCCAAATGGGGATTGGAACCTGAGTCTCCACAGTCCCAGTCCAATACCAACCAACATCTACATCACAGTATCGAATCTCAGGATCCCAGTCTGGGGTGGCTGCACCATGCAGATGAAGGAGAGGAGGAAACGTGTGTGTTTCATATTTGCTCAGTGTGAACACTCTCTGTACAGTCTTCACTTCAGACTATTTGCCAGCCTTAAATGGGTCATTTAGGCAAGGGATCAACCCAGCCTTCCTCAGCCTGGTGCCCTCCAAATATTTTGCTTTCAGCTCCCAACAGCCACAGGCCAATGGTCAGGGACTGTGGAAGCTGGATTCCAAACCTGGTGGAAGTCCAGCTGGAAAGCTGCTCTTCCAGCCATGGATGGGCCATTGGTTATGTGAATGTGACTGCTCGCTCTCTCCCCTTTGACGTCTTTGGTCTGCGGGGCACTAGTGATCCACTCAGTTATTCCTAGCATGAATACAAGATCACAACTGCTTAACAACAACAACAACTCAATTGTAACCTATCTTTGGATGTACAAGAATCAAAGCTCTAGCACATCCTACAATACACATATGTGCGCACATTCGTACACACACGGAGAGCACGGCCTTTGGTTTGCCTTAGCAAAAAACCTGCAAGCTATTTCTCATTAAATGCAACAAGAACAACAAGCATGTGATCTCCAAGCCAAAAGTGAAATTATGCATTCATGCCCCAATTTATCAGTCGTAAGTGTGAAAGATTAATAGTACCGCAGTGAGTTTCACCACATTTAAAACTTCCATTTGCAATCTGTGCAGAGCAGCATTTCCCAATTAATAATAGTTATGAAGCAGTCAGGAATCCACGCTGGTTCCCCCATAAAGGAAATGAGCACAGCGGATTGCGGTGGATGGCAGGACTTTTCATTCCAATCTATTAAATGCTGTTTCTTTCTCCAAGTGAAACACAGTTTGAAAAAAAGAAAAACCAGCAGCAGAGCTTTCTAAATTTAAACCTACCATGGACCAGTTCAAAACAAAACTAGATAATCACAGCTGCTTTTAAATTAAAACGAGTTGGTGATTGATTCCCAGTTTCCAAATAAGGTACATTACTCAGGCCCTCTCCAAATGTTTGTGACCTGCAAGGGACAAATCCTTTCATCTCTGTAGAAAATTACTTTCCCCATCTTGACATTTGAGATTAAAGAGAATTTGGAATAATAATAATAACCAAATGGGACAAAATCATTATATTTCTGCCCTTTTAAGGGTATTGCTTGGTGAACTAGCCCAGACATTGTCAAGCCTTCCAAAGATCCCAGGGTGGTTAATAAGCTGGAGTGACTTATGGACCCCACCCCCCCATGTGCCAGCAAGATTTGCACAATTAGCCTCACCAGCAGAGCTTGTTATGATGGTGGGTGGCTAACAAAGCACCCGGGGGCCATTTTTAAAGCTATTTTTGTTTCCTGAAGATGCCTGCCTTTTTCCTCCCTTCCTTTCTCCTTTTTAAGCAGACTCTATATATACGTAAGAGGATTGGCAATAGGATGCCCCTGCATACATGGCCCAAAAAAATAAAAAAGGGCCTCACAAAGGGGCAAAGGAGGACATCAGTTTGCATAAATGCATGCACAAATGGAATGATTTAATTATAGGTATGCATGTACATTTAAAAGCATTTTTGTAATTTAAATTGAAAGGCACTTACTACCTTATTACTATTACATTGAATTTTTCCTCTTGCAAGGAATCTACAATGGTTTACACAGCTCCGTTTTATCCTCTCAACTACCCTGTGAGGTCGGCTAGGGTGAGAGTGAGGGACTGGGCCTAGGTCACCCCGTGAGCTCCATGGCTGTGGGGTCTAGAAGCCAGGTCCCCAGTCCAGGACTCAGCCGCCAGGGTCTCCCAACACCGCCTCCTGAGACCATCCCTCTGGGAAACACTGGAATCACGGCAAGACTGAATCTCTCAAGCCCAACCAAGGCAGGCATCCCATATCAGACTGTACTGAAAGCTGCCAGGAAATCCAATGGAACCATATAGTTGAAAGTCACCTTCCAGACTGATCCAAGTCCATTTTCATCCACAAACTGGGCCTGTTGAAACCAGATGGGAATGGATCCAGGAGCAAACACTGCTCCAGCATTTGGCTCAGCCGATGAGTGAACACTGACATTAATATTCTTGATCAAGACTTGGTCTCTGTGGGGTTTTCCCCCCATGCAGGGGTCTTGATACTGCCTCCTTAAGAAGAACAAGGACTGCTCCCTTGTTCAAAGAAGCTTTGATTCCTTCCAGGATGCCATAATCTAAATTTAGCTACATGCCCCGCATGTAATCCTGGTAAGAGGCTCCTAAGAAGTACGTTCGCAATTCCCATGGCATGGCTGCATTTCATATTATTCCAGTAATTCAGCTGGTAAGATCAATGGCTTAATTTTAAACTCCCCAGCCCCTTTCACACAAGAACATAGGGAACGAAGAGCTTTGTGGCACAAACTTTTATGGACAGCACATTTCACTGACAGTACAATTTGCCCACATATTTTTAGTTAATGAGTTAACTTTTGAAGATGAGCAAACAAGGTGTCAACCTCTATAGGAAGGAGCCCAATTGAAGACTCAGTCTGGATCAAGGGAACCAAGTACATACTGCGTGAAAGTACTATTGTAAGCCGTACTATTGTAAGCCATCCAGAGATGTTCTGTACGCGATGGAATAGGAAAGCTTTTAATAAATAAAGGATTCCAGTTTGGAGAAATGGTTTTGCAGTTTTCAATATGACAAACAGCTACAGAATTTGGGTTAGAAACTGGAAACCCCAAGGTCAAACGCAATCCTCAAAGTGTCCCCCAGTTGCCATAGCTAAGAAAACTAAAGAGAGAGAACAGTGACAGCCTCAAAGATGTTCTCTTCTCTCCCCCCACTTGCTGTTGGAATACCTGGATCAGAGGAGAGGAGAGGAGAGGAGAGGAGAGGAGAGGAGAGGAGAGGAGAGGAGAGGAGAGGAGAGGGACCTATAAACCCATTGAGTCCAATCCTCTGCTCTACTTCCACATGTGCTGATGCATCTGGCTACAGGCTTAGCCAGATGCGTCAGCACATGTGGAAGTGGAACAGAGCTTAGCAAAGCTGACTTGACAAGCTAGTTGAATGTATAGCTATGGTACACCTGGGGCAGGTGTACCACCGGGCTGGTGGGGAATGGGCTTGAGAGGCAGAATCCACAGTGGTGTAGAGGCAGATGGTGTAGAGCCTGCCAGGATGCAGCACCAGCACATTTGATTAGCAGCAAAGCCACCTGCCACCCATCCCGGACTTCCCTGTAACCTCTGAGCTTAGCTGTCACCCTTGCTGTAGCAAGGAAATGAATTTTTTTCCAGCAGCAGCCTATTGCTTTCTGTTGCAATGCTACAGGGTAGTTTGGCCCTGTATAAGAAATTAAGACCTATTTGCTTTACCCAAATGCTGTGGAGAAGAAGATTCCTAGAACCGGTTTGTTCCTATGGATCAGCCCTGCTGCTTCTTTTTGTGGCGTGTCCCTGGAGGCATGGCTATGGAGACTGCAGTGACTGAGTGCCTGCTCTTCAGAATTTAGCACTGAATATTGGATCTGGATCTGTACCCCAGTTTTGAAACTGTGCATTAGAATTGCACAGAAGAATAGCAGATGACATAACAGCGGTGGGTTGTAGTCACCCCATGCAGATGTGTGCATGGGATGGCCAGTTAGGCATTGCAAAAGAGGAGACACAGAATGGTTGAAAAATGGTGTTTGCTCATGTATATGTACAAATGCACATTTAGAAATAATGACTTTGATTTAAATAGAAATACAAGATATCTCACCATCTTGGGGGTGGCTGTGACCAGGTGACCCACGTGCCCGCTCCATCTGCTGACCAGTTGTTAACTGTGGTTGGGAAACTTCAATGGGGCAGCATAGCTCTCCTTTCTTGTGGTTTCTTATGATTCTTTGCTGTTTAACCTGACTTGGACTTCAGATAGAGGACACCTTTAAATAGAGGACTGTCCTCTGTGAAGCAGGACACCTGGCCACCCAAGCATACGTGTTTCTAATCATCTTTTGGGTAAGAGCAGAAAGTTCCATGGTTAAATTGAAGCTAAGCAGATCTGGAACTTCACTGAACTTGGAAGAGAGACCACCTGGAACCACATGTAGCCACCTTGATTTTAACAATGGGTGAAAGGTGGAATATCATGAGAACAAGCATCTGCCTTTCTGTCAGTGCCTACAATTATAAGCATATATATTTGACCCAGTGGTTCTTGTTCTTTTATCTCAGTAAAGGATGTTTGGATAAATGCACAGGTCACTCCAGTTAGCAAGGCTGAATTGACTGTGTTTGCTTCCTTCAGGTAGACATCACAAGTTTATAACAAAGGAAAGGTACCAAGACCAACCCCTGTTCAAAGCAAGGCCCTGCTGGATCAGGCCAAGAACCTATCTAATCCAGGGAGAACTGAGGAGGTATTTGTCAGGGTTTGCAAAAGCTTTGATTACTTTCGGGAAGGTAAGGGGAGCACTGTGCAATCACAGAAAAACAAGCAAAGGCAGTAAAAAAGCTACTGAGTAAGGGATTTTTCTGGAGCAACCTTCTAAATAGCATGTTTTCCTTCCATTCATCCAAGCTCGGTCTGTAGTCCCAACAAAAGGGAAAACGGAATCAGTCCCTTTGGTGATTCCGAACAACCTCTGGAGGCATTCTGAATGTCTCTGGCATTTGAATGGGATGTGCTGAGTTTCAGAAAGGCCAGCTTTGAATTTATTTTTTCATGGCTAAAGAAAGGGTTTATTTGCATGCAGATTTTCCTGGTTTCCTTGTTTGCTTGTAAAAAGAGCATGCAGAATGGAGTGACAGAAATGGAGTAAAAATAGTGGCCTTTTCCTCTGGAATCTGCTTCTCAAAGCAGACTCTTCACGCACGTCATTGCATGCCTCACGCAGCAGGTTGGTGAATGATATGAGGGTGAAAAATCAATGTGTGCGATGCTGGCAGTTTTTGCTAAAGAAGAAATGCTGGATTCATAACTCACAGCATCAACCATTGCGCATTGTCAGCAGCACTGAACAGTCGGTCAGCAGGAGAGGCTGTGGTGGCAGAGGGCCAAGTTAGGATTACAGGTTAGTGCTCTGAACAAGGCAGCTAATGGCTCTGTGAGTGCTTAATGAGCAGCAGTACTATAGGAAGTTCATTCATAGCATGTTAAGTGTGCAGAGTGCTTCACGAGCCCGGCTGCACAATCCTACGGATGTCTACACAGGAGGAATCTTATTAAGTTCAAGTGGACTTACTCCCAGATAAGCTATGCACAGAGCTGCAGCCTCAATGGCTTCAGTCCGTGAAGTCATCCGCTGTTTGAAAGGCTGTCCTGTCCAGTCCTGGTCTGATGATAATGAGCCATAAGGACTGTTGCTCATCAGCAGTTAGCACCTGAGCAGCAGAGGTGAAGGGCAGGCATCCAGCCCCTGGTCACAGGCTGCCACAACTCTATTTTGTCCTCTTTTTCAGTGATTCATTAGTGGCCACCCTATCCTGAAGGAAGCTGAGAGGGGCCTACATTTGACCCACAATGTAAAAGGAATTGTAAACCATGACTGGCCACCTGCCTCCATGTGGACCCTGCTCGCAACGCCCGATTCCCTTATGTTCTGCAGCAGGACAATATCCGGACACCCAGGGGAGGAGATTTGAGCCTTTGGACTTTCTTAGACTCCAGTTTCCATCAGCCCAAGACAAGATGGCCTATTGTGAAGGAGAATGGGAGTTCTACTCCAAGAACATCCAGAAGGCCACATCCTTCCCACTCCTCCTTCAAGCTATGATCTGGGCCATTACTTGGTTTCTTGGAGTTCCACTTGGTTTGACAGTGTGGACTGTCTCAGCATGCCTAGAGGTGAAGATGGCACCACTGGACACCAAGGAAAAGCATATAAGATGGAGCTGTATAACTGCATATTAACATATGTATGAATTGTGGTGGTGGAGAGAGGGGAACTTGTTGGGGCTCCTCTCTCAAATCTGCAGTGCCTGCAAAAAGGGTGATCTACTCCTTATGCAGGAAAATACAGCTCAATTGCAGTGATCGGAGCCAGCAGCCTGGAGGCTCCTGCAAGCAAGACTGAAATCACAGCCATGGCTCAAAGACATCTAGAAGCTTCTAGTGCTGCTGCTGGGCATGCTGGGAGAAACCAGCTTTCAATCTGCCAAAGAGAGGACAGATTGTGCTGCATTTCTTAGCATGTTGGGACTGGAAGGAATGATGTTTTTGGAAAGATTAAAGATAATTAACTTGGCAAGAGTCTTTTTACCATTAGAGGATTTTAGAGACCTTTTATAGCAAATTTCATTGAAAGATGGGGGCATAGATGGAGGTCTGGAAGTCTGATTTTAGTAGCATTTACTGGGAAGGTCTATTTAGGTAGGTTGAAAGAGGACAGCGATTTTGAAAATGAAGTGCATTAGATGCAGCATCAGTAAACTTAGCAAATTTGGCTGAAATTTTCCAGGTTGTATATACTCCAGCATGCACACAAACTCAAATACATAAATGCATACCCTAACATGCAGATAGTTGCCATCAGGTGCAACAATGGCTGCTGTATTTGTCCAATGCCAGAGAAACATCTCCTGGCTTCTTGATCACTGGCCATACTGACAGGGGTTCTCAGGAGCTGGAGGCAAACAGGTCTGGTGATCCGCCTCCTGCCCTTCTCTGTCCTGAGGTGCCCCAAATTGGTGTTATATTAGTCTCTTGTCCCAGCACTTATGACAAAACATGATGCAGTGGGTGATGCAAATGCGTTGGCTTTATCTGCAAGGCTGTGCAAAATGAACACACCCTATAACCCAACAAAGGAAGCTTGTATCTAAAAATAGGGCTTTCACAGCTCAGAATTCCTTGTGTGGTAGGAACCCTATATGCAGCCTGGGTTTGCAAGGGTGTCTGGGCAGCAGATTGACAATGGGAGATGCATCTGGATGTGAAGTGCAGAGTGCTTTCCCCATCCCACATTCTCAGGTGTGGCTGGAAAGAAATATTCCCATCAGTCTTGCAATATGAGATATCTGTAAATCCTCTGCCCCTTCCTGGGCCTCTTGTATGCACACAACATATGCATGCAGTTGATTATATCTTCAAAGGTTTCAGAGGTGTGGAAGGGACATTTGATCTACCCACAAGCCATGACGGATGTCTACCTAAATCCTACCTCCTGTACTTCAGTTTTTACTTTCCAGACAACCCTAGGACACAAGCAGAGGACAGGTACCATCCAAGGTGCAAGTAAGTAGCTTGAAATGTTTGCCAGACCAAACTAATACATTCCACTTACATCTGTTTTCTTGCAACAGTGTTGTCACACAGTCCTGGTTAGAAATCATAGGCAGCATTAACATTTTTGTCCATGAGTGTGTGTGTGTCTCTGTGTGTGTGTACCCTTCATCCAACCATCTCTTCGGCTGTGAATTGCAGTAGCCTTTTATATCTTGGTGTCACTTTATAAACAGCAGGCAGGCCAACTCACTGATGATCAACCCTTTAAGGTACTGGGTTAACAGTATATTTAAATAACATTTGGTTTTTCCATCTTGTTTTTGCTTCACTTTAGGCAGTGTATCAGTCATAGTGACAATTTTCAAGTATGTTACCAGGAATGTTTAAGCCCTTGAACAGCAGGGAGTTAAGTTTAGCCTGCAGTGGGCTTATACTGGATATAATTGGAAGGCTAATTCATTAACCTTCAGATACTCAAAAGGAGCTTCTGCAGCTGCTATCGAACCCTGTTGAAATTACAAATATGTCCTCATTGTGTAGTTTGGTCACACAAAGTGGTGAGAGCTGCCAAAACTATTGCAGGGAAAGCATTTCTGTGAAGGGTCATTCCCTGCATTACACAGCAACAAACCTGGATTTGACAGGTTGCGGATGTACATCCACTTGTACAGACTATGTGTTTTCAAACACCCATTTGTTGCTTTAAAAATGTTAGGTAGATACTTGCAAAAAAAGAAAGAAAGAAAAGGAGAAAAGGTATGAAGCTAGAAATGTAATGTATCCAGCATTTTAACTACTGTATGGAAACATTTTCTAGGCATAATGGAACCAGCACCATAAGATTAGTTTAAAGAATTATTAAATATTGCTAAATAAATATTTAAGCATTTTGTTTTTGCAACTCACCTTAGAGTCATCTTTAAGTGTTGGATTTGCTACTGGAAGTGAAAGTACTGCAAGAGAGAGAGGGGCAGTAATTAAAATACCTGTAATGCTGTATATTCTCAGGTTCAGTTCCATCTAGCTGACCCAGCATGTGGAAAACTCAGACAACTCAATGCAACCAGGGTGGGGGGGGGGGTGATTGTCATGAAGGTGTGCATGTGGGCTAATAAGCCAAAAACTATATGAAATGTAGCATCACATCTTTGATCACATTCTGGAGTCTAAAAATGGGGAAGTGGAGGTTGCATTTCCTTCAGCAATTGCTTAAACAAGCAACTAAAGTGAGAGCCGGGAGCTGCAGCAATGATTTCGTAAGGGAAAGGGCCCTGCAATCAATCATTCAGAAATGGGTTATGGAATATTTTCTGAGCATCCCGAGTTTGATTAACCTGATTGCTGGACTGATTCACTGTTCGTGACTGCATTATGTATGTTGCAGTCAAAGGAGAAGAAAGAATGTTGATTGAGACAGGCATGTAGTCAGAAAGACAAAGACAATGCAGAAAAGAATTCTTGTGGGTGTGTGCGGGCTTAAAGAAAACTATCCAGAAGGGACTTGTTCAGCTACAAGGTGGGTGGGACTTTCAGGAGTTTGCTAGGGATAAAAATGACCTTGAAGATCTACAAAGATCTGCTCGGGTTCTCTGGCCACTCCAGTCTCCTCACTTGCCTGGGTGTGTTCATATCCCAACGCTCACCTCACCCCTCCTTTAAAACTCCCCCCCTCCGAAGACATCGCCTCTTCCCTGCCTCCCGCCCCCCCCCCCCCCCCTCGCCTGGCCAGTTTGGGCCAGTCCCCCCCGTGCAACACTTTCGCTGGACTGGGCGACGGCCCAGGTGAGCCCACCCGCCGCGCCGCCGCTGTCCTTGGTGCTGAAAAGGACGGCCGCTGCGGGCGCGCGGGGCGGGCGAGCGCTCTCTCCGCCGGGAGCAACTGCGGGCAACGAGCGCGGACACCCGCGTCCCCGCGGCTTACCGTGCGCTGCGAGGAGGAGGAGGAGACCCGCCAGCCCAGCGTGGGTCATGCTGCCGGATCCGGAGAGCGCGCGGGCGAAGCGACGGGCGGCGAAGATGGCCGGGGCGCGGGCGGCGCGGCTCCGCTCGGCTTTATTGCTGCCGGCCGGGCCGGGCCGGGCTTCGCAGGGAGCAGGTGTCGGAGGGGCTTGGCTTGAGAGGGACGGCCGGCGGCTGAGGCTGGGCGAGGGCTGAGCCGGGAAGCGGATTATGGCTCTGCCCGCGCCCTTCCCCAGATCCTCCGATGCCGCCGCTGATGATCCCCGACGGGGCACTGCAGCAAGCACCTCGTTTATATATTTCCCCCTCCCCTCCCCTCCCCTCCCCTCTCCCCCTCTCCGGAAACGGCGTCAGGAGGAAGCTGGCTGCCCCCTGCCCCCGCCCCAGCCTCCCGGGAAGGCTCCCTCCAGTCCCTCCTTGGCTGGGCATCGTGGAGCCCGGGCGGGGGGAGCTGAGCCGAGCCCCCTCCAAGCCTGCCTCGCTTCGCGGGCGCCCAGCCAGTCAGGAGGAGGAGGGCCGCGCCGGGCACGATGCTCGGAGGGCAGCGCAGCAATCTCGGCTCGCCTGACCCATGCGCTGCCCGGTGGTTGGGGACTACAGCTCCCAGAATCCTCGTTCGTAGACCACGCTGGCTGGGGCTGATGGACGCTCCGATGGCAAACAGCGGGAGGGTGGCAGGTTGGCCACCCTTGAGTTGAATAACCTGGCTGGGGAATGATTGAGTCACTGTTCATGACTGCTCTATAGAGCAGGTGTACAGGGGACTTAGGGAGAAGGGTGGTTGAGGCAGCGCTTCGGGTGCATTTAGACGGACAAAGACATTGCAGAAAGGATGTGTCCGTGTGTGCATGCCAAGGAAAACTATCCAGAAGGGGCTTGCTCTGCAAACAGGTGGATGGGGCTTTCAGGAGTTTGCTAGGGGTAAAAAGGCCGGTGGGCGTGGGATGCATGGATATTCATTCATTCCAGAGCCTAAAATATCCTCCCCTATTTCTGGCAAATTATGAAGGACAATATAAAAAATGACTTACAAATCCAAGGCACTGCTTTGGGGCACTTTTATCTTGACTTGACTGCCAAGCAGGCCCTTGAAATTGGTTATGGATCTTTCCCCCCTTCAGACCTGAAAAAGCGCCCCATTAGAGGGAGAATAACTCAATCCACTACATGCTCCCTTTGGCCTGCCCAGATTTACCATACAGGGTGTTCACTGGCTTTTAGTGGGCTGATAACTGTGTACCTAAGACCTGCTGGCCTGCTTTTCCCAGAGCAGGAAGAAGCTGCTTTGGAGGTGACAGGACTCGGAGCAGAGAAGCAGCAGCTGCGGAAAGGGTTAAGGCTCGCTAGCCCCTTCCCCTGCAGCATCTCCACTTCACATCTGCTTCCTGAAGATACTTTCCTTTAGGAAACACAGACATTGGCTTCTGTTGCACACATTTACGTGCAATGCTTAGTTCTGCCTTTTTAACAACTTAACAGGAAAAAACAAGCTTTGTATTTCTATCAAATGTCATCCCATCTCTTTTCTAAACAGGAGAGATGAAGGTTTAAAAAAACCAGGGGCAACATTTCCATAGGAACTGCACTAGTCTGAGGGATGGTTTCCACATAAATATTCATTTGATTGTATTTTACTAATGTTTAGCTATACTTTCCCTCCTTCTCTATATGCACTCAGGCACATACATGTACACACAGATTTAAGGCAACGAACACTGGGACATGAAATCAAACCACGATCAAACATTAGAAAATCAAGCTAAAATAAAATTTAAAAATCATTATATCAGAAGAGTTGCTCCTCGAAAAGCATGTAGTGATGGGGCCAGTTGGACTTCCATTGCCTTGCCAGCACTAGCAGTGTCTGGTGGGCCCGACCTACTTTAATTCAGACACCAGGGAAACAGTGAGCATGAGCTCAAGCCGGCAAGGTGTCCCCAAGGCAGAGTTTGGCTAGCTTTGGGGAGACCCTGGTTCAAATGCCCATTCAGGTATGAAGATCACTGGGTAACCCAGGTGACCCCTCGAAGAATAACCTGACTCACAAGGTGATTTGACCCCAGGGACTTGGTCCAGCCAGGCCACCTCATGCTAGATTGATGGACAGGAAGAAATGAAACCACCAGTGTGAAGGATTATATGCAGTATATTGAATACCATAAGGAAGCATGGGTCCAGAAAATATGCAAGCAGAAGGGAAGAGCAGAGCAGAGCTTAGGAGATGCTCCGTGGGCCTTCAGAGCTGATACTCAAAAGCCAGTGTGGTGTAGTGTTTCGTATTGCACGGCTGGGACTCAGCTGTGGAGCTCAGTGTGTGGCTCTGGGTCAGTCACAGACTCTCAGCCTAAGCTACCTCAAAGGGTTGTTGTAGTGAGGGTAAAATTGAGGGGAGGAGAATTCTGTAAGTCACCTTGAGTTCCTTGATAGGAAAAAGGCAGGATATAAACACACACACACACACACAGCAAATTAATAAACCAAAAGACAATGGCTCTTCTCATGGATTTTATAAAGTTCCTCTCTCACATCATTTTAGAGTCTGTCAGTATACATACAGGTTCTAACCCCCTTGCTGAGAGACTGGAGGAGGAGGTTGCTTCAGTAGGGAAAACATAAGCATTCTCACAGCAAAAGCTGCCCTTGTCTATGGAATGACTGGGGAAGGCAGCTTTAAGGGAATTACTGCTGGAGCTCTTCCTAACTAGTTGAAGACCACAGATCACTGGCATGACTTCAAGAAACAACCCTGGCTTTTGGGCCCTGAAAAGTTCCCTGCACTGCCACTTGAGCCTTAATAACTGCCTAGCCACTCTTCCACTAAAGAGCCTCAGACACACTTGCATGTCAAATGCATGTGTGTAACATTGAGAAACAACCACAACACATCTGTCTATACTGGCAGAGCTTTATAACAGCAGAGTTAATGTTTCCATCTGCACACAGTTGTTGGATGTTGTGTGAGTCCTGTGGTCTCAATAAAGGAGGTGTAAAGGACTGTATTTCCTAGGCCAGTAGTGGGCAGAAGATAGATCTGGATGAACTGGTTACTCTTCGGATCATCTATATTAGGGGGCAACAAGTAAATCCATCATGTCCTAGGCTACTTGTGCTGGCCCACCTGGATATCTACTACACTATTGAAAAACAGCCGCCTTGTTTTTCTACAGGGGTGGGTTGCAACTATTTCCCTTACATTCCTTACTATTTCCCTTACTTCCAGCTGCCCTTGTCCTTATAAAATGTGGGTGGAAAGCCCACAGAGCATAAGGATCAGCAAGGCAAGGGCACTGATTTGACCAGGGATACTGTTGCCATTCTGCACAGAAAGGAGGGCCATGATTCTACCCTTGATGTGGCATTCTGACACTTGGGCTGAAAAAGGACATAATGTTTTAGCATGGTGTTGGTGAAATTGGCTTCAGTGCACCAATTTTGGCCTGAAAACTCACATTCTCCCTTCTTCTGCAGACTGAGCTCTGAGGTGTGTGTGTGTTGGGGGTAGGGGGATAATTCTGCATTGTTTTGGCATGAAAGGGAAAAGTTCTGTGTGGTGGGCACCACTGGCTACGTAGTTTCCATATCACCACCAGCCCCAAGCCACAGAACAATTCTGCAAATGTCCAAGAGTGGCCATTTTTTTAAAAAATTGGTACCATAAAAGAGGAATGTATAGCTGTTTAAATAAAGGTGCCTCCATTGTTTAAAAAAAATCCCAAAAGGCAGGCAGCCCACCTGAAGAACAAGAGAGGGTCAAGGGACCTAGTTCTGATCCCGCATTCAGCTTTCAAGCTGCAAACACGTGCACATTGCAAAACCTCTTGCCAACAGTGAACCGTGTACAGCAGTTGCTCTTAAGAATGTTATCTGGCTTCTTCATCCTCAGAAACCTTGCTGAGGAGCAATCAAAGTGCACCACGGCAAAAGTGCTTTAGGCGGGATGAGAATCAGCATGAGACCAAGGCTTCACCTACGCAGATATTTATGCAGGGGCAGACATCACCTCGAGGATTTGTTGGGGAACCATCTGTTCGTTTGAATTCACAAGCGCAGATTTCATGCCA